GGGGGGGGGGGGGGGGATTCTAACTTCATAAACAAGAAAATGATATTGGAGAATCCAGAGTCTGATCATGACTTGAACACCCGAAATTGGTATTTTTCTCAATTATGTGTCCGTGTCCGTGTCCACTTAATGTCTACGCTTAAAGATGTAAACGGATACGCATCCCATCTAATATACTTCATAAACAAGGATTTATCTGACACGGGCAGGTGCTTAATTTCTAGATCCGCAAGTCTGTCTGCGTATTTGGCTCCCGACCTTGGCAGAATAGTAATTGTGGAAGGGAAATTAAAAAAGATCATAGTTATATCTGTATCCCTTTCTGGAAACATATGATTTGGGACCTCTTCTAGTGGCTCAATGTTATCGAGGTTGCACCTCCGAGATATTTTGGCTGTAAGCTGAGACTGAACTTCTTTGATTTTTGATATAATTTTCTTGACCCAAGTTTTTGATACTTAATGGGTTCTAAATAACTGTGGCTGCCGGCAATGACTAATCTACGTCAGATTCTGTCAGATTCTTTTGTTGTTCCGTCCAAAGGATTTTTAGTGTTCAATGTCCCACAGTGAGCTGTGGTGTGTGAATTGTGGGTGGATTTTTAGTGTTCAATGTCGCACAGTGAGCTGTGATGTGTGAATTGTGGGCAGTTGCATATTCCAGTTTCAATTTCAAATTCTAGAATTGAGATTTTACATGTAAATTTCTTTCTGCCTTGGTTATATAAACTTATCAAATTGTGCCTGCAAATTACTCCTTTAGTAATATCGATTGTTGTCAACGGTTTTCTTGTGGTTTCGCAGTATTGCATGCGTAGTGTGCATAGGCTTTTTTCTTCTCTCATCAGTGAAATTACTTTTAACAAAAAGTCGATGTCAGTTAATTAAATGTAGAAATATGAAATTACTGCTTTGAGCTTATTTGTCTCTGATTTGCATGCCTGCTTGTGTAGTGTTTCTTTATTCTTCTTTCTATAAATTTATTTTATTTCCTTTTATTTTGCAGCTTGCCGAGATTGTTAATCATGGGAAATTGGTGTCAGATGAAATTATTATAAAACTATTGTCCAAGCGTCTTGAAGCTGGAGAAACTAAGGGTGAATCAGGATTTATTCTTGATGGCTTCCCTCGAACTATAAGACAGGCGGTGAGCTAATTTTTGTGATAACTACCAACGGGCTTTGGTCCAATGGTACTCTTTACCTTATAAAGGTTTTGTCTTCTCGAGGTCAAGGGTTCAAGTCCTCCACCCCCTCCCCCTCCCCCAAAAAAAAAAAAAAAATTTGTGATAACTGTGGAAATGTACAACAAAAAACATAATTTTAATCCTTTGGGTGTTAATAGCTTAATATATATTAAATTAATGTCAAGAACCAATGGTCTGTTTGTATAAGGCCAACTAATTTGTGTTAAATGATGGGGAAACAGATCCTTGCTGTGTATCTTGGGAACATGCTTTCCAAAACATGGTAGTGCACCCAAGCCTTGAAACGTCAAACTTGACAAACATTAAAATTGTCTTTTTGCAATAATGAACATGAAAAAATAATGAATTAATATAGAAAAAGATGGAGCTTCTTTGGGGAAAATTGAAGATAAAGTGTTCTCATTTTTTCATATTCACTGTGAAGATTGATGATGGTTGTGCCTCTCTTGACCTATAGATTGACTTGGGTCCTGGGTAGGCTCGTGTCGATGCTGCGTCAAAGAGGAATACAGTGTTATTGTTTTGGTGCAATGATAAAAATTTTAAATTCACCACTTGCTGCAAAATTATGGTAAATGTTAGGTGTTTCTCCTGGGTATGCCTGCTAGTACTGTGCATTGGTGGGATTAACACTAGTCGATGGCTTATACTGTCATAGGGACTATAACACTCATGTCAGCTTATTGATTTAGATGTCAATTTTTAACGTGGTCATTTCCTATTGATCATACCACTAAAAGAGTATTTTAACTTGTGCATTCTTACTATGTCATGTTTCATTGATCTTATACTTTTAGAAGACAAATGAAGTTGTGAGAAGTATTTTTGTACTTCTATGTTATCTGTATAAACCTATCTTTATTGTACCATGTCTTAGATTGTGTGAAGTATCATACTTCCGTTCCTGTTTCACATAGCTACTTATCTTCTTTCTGGATGAGTTCGGTGAAGAATTGTGATGCCAATGGTTTTTCCCTCTATCTCTACTGTAGCAGCCAGTATTATGTGGTTAGAAGCTTGGAGGGCTTTGGTCATTAATGCATACACAATAGTCATATGTTTGAATTCTTAAGTGGATATCTTACTTTTTCAAGAAGTTCTAAAGGATCTAATCATACTATGGGTGATCTATGTTGCAAGCACACAATTTTAGCATGCAAGGTATTGACTATAAAATATGTTTTTGAAGTTAGTGTTGCAAATCAGAATTTTAAGCTTACTGATATTTTAATAGGGGTAAAAGAAGAGTTTAAAAATATTATGCACTCGACTGATGCTTTTGTACATCGCAATATTATTTTAACGATGTAGAATAGAAGTGGAAAGAGTTAAGAGAAGTAGAGCGGATGTAATGGAGAAAATTATCTTTTAAATATAATAAATTGCACACATCAATGCCACATGGTGGTGAAATGACCGGAACTCTTACTGCTGTCGACTCTCTCGTTCTTGAAAGCACTTCTTTAAGCTGGGGTTCATATTTTAGGCATGCTTGGCTTGGTACAATGGATTATGTGGTCAGTTATGGTGTTGTGTCTCGTTATAGCTACCAGGAACTGTAATATCATCAATATATTGCATAATGATTTGAACCACATAATGATATAATTATACGACTGCAATGATTTTATTTTTCACTTTCCCATTTTTAAAGATTTCCTTTTACATATTTGTAACATGCTTCCTCTGTCTACCCTTTGTCAACATACAGCTCAACTCAAATAAGCTCATTAAAGACTTAGTTCAACTACTTTGGATTGGCTTCATGGTTCCATCTTCTCCTGTTGGTTCCTTTTAGCGAAGCCGAAGACAATCATGTCTTCCTCTTGGCCACAATCCCTGTTCTTTGGTCTTTCTCTCGTTCTTTTTCACAACTTCAACTTGAATCAACTCACTTGCAACTGATTTGCTAGTATTTACGCTATGTCAGCAATTTGTATGATTTTAAAACTTATCTCATTAGTTTTTATCTTGCAAATTTAGTCTTCTCATGTTACACACGAGGCTTTATGATGTAACATATCTTACATCTTGAGCCACCTGCCTACCCCCAATGCAAATCCCAATTCCAAGCGGAGGGACTATCAAATAATGTGATTGGTTGAGTCATTGTTTCTGATCAATTCTACATGGTTTGTTCTGGATCCTTTCTTTCCCCCCCTGACATGACTTTTAGACAATTGTTTTCATCTCTATCCATCTGATTTTCTTTCTTCGCATTGGTTTTTCTTCAGGAAATTTTAGAGGGAGTTACGGACATTGACTTGGTGGTTAACTTGAAGCTCCGAGAAGAAGCATTGCTTGCAAAATGCCTTGGAAGAAGAATATGTAGCGAGTGTGGAGGGAATTATAATGTCGCTTGCATTGATATCAAGGGTGAAAACGGAAGTCCTGGAATGTACATGGCTCCCCTTCCTCCTCCTCCACATTGTGAATCAAAATTAATCACCCGTTCTGATGACACTGAAGAAGTTGTAAAGGAGCGCTTCCGTGTATACAATGAAATGGTACTGCTCTATCTTTTGGGGAGATATTTAATTATATGTCCATCTTTTTAGCAAGTGTAAGAAAGTTCTTGTAGATACAGTATTATTATTATTAGCAAGTGTAGATGATAGTACCAAGGATTTTTGAGGTTGAGTGGGAAGGAAGACTCCTTTGTGATACTGTTCGCTGTGAAAGAAAAATAGGTGGCCTTGGGATTAATCCAGGTGCCATTAAACTGTCATATTTTGACATAGTTTTGCATCCATCTTCACTTGGTGTTTTGTTTCATGTTGCTACTTCTCTTTTGTGTGCAATTTTAGTTCTATTCCAGAGTGGTGAACAGTATATCTAAGTTTGTGGCTAAGTATTCACATTCTTGTTTGTTAGCCATGGCGTATATTTTTTTGTCGGTCTTGTTTTTAGCGGTAAATGATATTGACAGACCTACCAAGTCACTGTTGCAATAGCGGTATTACCAGTCTACTTGGTAAAAAAGCTTGTGGAAATGGGACGTTAAAGGTCCTTCACTGGCACATTGCAGTTATCGTGCCACAACATCAACTCTGCATCTAGCCCGTAGTGGTGGAAAACCTGGATATTGAGACAAAATAGAACTGTTCACTGATTATGATTTCTGTTGGTGGTTCATGTTAAGATTGTGTCCTTAAAATTATCTTATCCTTGCAGAGCCGGCCTGTGGAGGAGTTCTATCGTAGTCGTGAGAAGTTGTTAGAATTCGATCTTCCTGGAGGAATCCCAGAGTCCTGGACAAAACTACTTCAAGCTCTGAATCTCTATGATCATGAGGGCAAAAAGTCTGCAGCAGCTTGAGTTTTTTGACGAATGTCATAGTATATTCACTAGGTAAATTTATCATTCTTTGCATGTGGGTGAAGTATGCATGCATTCTAATTTCACCAGGAGATGAATACTTATTTTTTATGCAATAAAAGCTTGATAGACCATGGACTCTTTATAGTGAATCTCCCTTAAGGGATATTGCAGATGTATGGGATGACAGTGGAGGCGACATGATGTAATTGTTCTTTATACCAAGACATATGATGTTACTCAATTATTGTTTTATTTGTGTAATCTTGGTATCATTCCCATTAATATTTTCTTTGTTTCGACCATGGAAACTTGAGCAATTTTTTATGGTGGACACGCCTTAACTTCTTCAAACACTGTATTACGTAATTCTGTCCAACAGCAAAACAAATCCTGAAGACAGCTATAGTATTTTGTCATGTTGGTGAAACTATGTTCCTACCTTTTTTTATGCATTTATATTGCCCTATTCATGAAGAAGAAAACTTATCCTCCTTGCGTTGAGGAACCCCAGTAGAAAGAATACTAGTTGTAGGAGTTGGAGATGGAGGAAATTTTATGCATCTTTGCTTTTGACACTGGTGCAAGGATCAAAATTCTCTTGTGCATTTGAAAACAAAAAAAAAAAAACGATTTTCGGATATTTCTCACAAGTATGTGAATATTTGCTTGGAAACTGGCAATCTTTTAATCCCATGGAGAGACAAAAGTATGCATTTGAACTTGGTTGGTTCTAGTTTTATCTTGTGTTTCATTACTCTCAAAGGTGCAGTGTTCAAGTAATGGTAGGGATGATATTGCATCCTTTTCAGCTTTCAAATGCTCATGATATATACATTGGCACCAGATCTATACACTTCCATTGTACAATAAGATGGTGCTTTATTTATCCTTGGGAACATGGCCTTGGCCAAATTGATGAAGTGCAGCAAATTTTGGTACTGTCCCAAAAAATTGAAAAACTTGCGAGTCAATCCGATCAAAGTTGCAACTCAATGGAGATCATCAATGTTTGAATCCATCTTAATCGAGACTATTGAGTTGTAACTTGACATGTTTGAATTGTAAGTTGACCTAATTGAATCATAACTTCAGTCCGGTATCGAAAATTAAAGTTTTTGTAACAACCTTTCCTCCAAAGCACACTGAATAAAGATCCAAAGCAGGATAAAAAAAAAGGATGGAAATGTGATCGTTGCTTTTGTAGAATTGAGGTTCAAGAGTGGGGATAAAAGATAACTGAAACCTATGCCAAAGAACCTATATGGTCCAAAATGCAAAGGTAACAAAATTTTGATTAGTTGAAATGAAGGATGAAAATTTAGTTTTGGTACATAGTTTCAGTTAGTTTAGAAACGAAACGTTTCAATAATGTTTTGAAAATTTTTTAAAAATTAAATGAAAATAAAAATAAATTAAAAATTCTCTGAAAAATGTAACAACTTGGAAATATAAGAATTTCGTAATCAATGATTTATTTCAACTTTTATGAAAACGAAAACGTTTTACAATGGTTTGATCATTTGAAATGAAATCTAGTTCCTTGGGTGAGACATAAAAAGGAATACCACTAAATCCTTAGCCTTAAATATTATTTTTGATTACTTTAGACTGACTTAAATAATTGTAGAATTATACTCAGACTTCTTGAAAAATATTTTACGTGGATCCTCTAAGGTTTGTACACACGCAATACTTAGATCCCTGCTGTAAATATATCTGTTAATAAATTACACTTAGACTCCCTTGAAATTTATAAGTATATAATACTTAGACCCTTTAAGTTTAAAATATTATAGTTAGACAAAAAATACTTCAATCAAATATAGAATATCAAATATTTTAAATTTTATAACTAAAATTCATGTTCTACTGTATCATTATTGAAATAAAATTAAAAATAAAAATTTAAATTTTTCTTAAAAAATCGTAATTAGTATACAATTATACTATTTATTGGAGTAAAACTAAAAAAATCAAATAACGGATCTAAGTCATTTATAATAAAGCATAAATTTTACATTCAAAATTGATGTTCTATTATGTTATTTACTGAAATAAAATCAAAAATAAAAATTTATTTTTTAAAAAAAATCATAGTTAATATATAATTATACTATCTATTAGAATAAAACTAAAAAATTAAATAAGGGATCAAATTGTAATGGACACAATATTTTTTAGCTTTAATTGTAGTAGTTTGATATTTTAATTTAGTCGTTTAAACGGTCAAATTAAATTCTAATAGACAATATAATTGTATACAAATTACGATTTTTTTTTAAAAAAATTAATTTTTATTTTTGATTTTGTTTCAATAAAAGATAAAATAGAATATTAATTTTAATTATAAAATTTAAAATATTTGATATTTTAGCTTTGATTAAAATATTTTTTGTCTAAATATAACATTTTAAACTTAAGGAGTCTAAGTAATATAAGCTTACAAATTTTAGGAAGTTTGGGTGTAATTTATTAACATATATATTTATAATAGAGAATTAAGTGCTATCTACATACAAATTTTAGGGAGTTTGTATGTAATATTTTAAATATCAAGAGTTTAAGTGATTAAATAAAAAGCTTTTAACACAATATGTTTTTTATTTAGTTGAACAAAGCACTTGAATAAAAGTCCATTAATATTCAATAATGTCTAGAAGATTTGTTAAAATTTGTCTTCCTATGGGCCATACAGCACACTAGGAAACTTCCATTAATTTTTTCTTGCTGACGTGGACATAATCCAGTATCAGAACAACACGTGGCCATCTCTAAACATCGTTATCAGATTAAAACCAGCCTTTGTGGGCCCACCCGACGTTACTGTAAAACGTCGTTTTACCCTTTAACTGTTTCTCGTTAACCCGTAATGTTACCTACCAAAATTTATAACTTTTTAATGTAAAATTATAATTTTTTTATTTTTTTTTGAAATGTAAGTTAAAACTGCAAAACTCTTAATCAGGGAAGGTAAAATTTAATACGAATAAGATACAAAATTAAATGATTTAAATTTTTTTTAAGTCGCTTATTTTATAAGCAAATGAACTCAACACGACACGATTCATAAACGAATCATTTATGAGTATAATCAATCAAAAGAAATATATGATACAACTCGTTTATATATTTGTTATACATGATTTATACATTATACAAATCTGATATGACACGACTCGTTAAACATAAATTAAAAAATAAAATCGAGTATGGATGAATTATTTTTTGACACGAACCCGCTTTAGTCGACACGATTAATAGATTTATTCTTAATTAATCTTACAATATAATTATCGATTATAGAATTATAATTTTTAAAAGTTCAGTTACACTTTTTAAAAAGATATTCATGAATCATAATTGATTTATAAAATTTAATGACCGCTCGTAAATTTAGCTCAAGTAACTGTAATTTCACTTCTAACAATTATAACTTAGACCTTAAAAAATAGTAATTTTTTGTACAATGCCAAATTAAATTTTTTTCAAAATCATAGAATTAAACCATCAACAAAAATAGAAAATACTCAATAAGGAGATAAGTGGGTACCCATAATTCAATAATTACTCATCTCTATAAATGTAATACCTATATGAAATTAGAGGCACAATCGAGTCGCGTTGTGTCGAATTTGTGTCAGATCATTGTGGGTTCGTGTCGAACATTAGTTAATCTTAACTAAATTTATTTAATTAATCGTGTCATGTCGAGTTGACATGTTTATTTTTATATCGTGTTTGTGTTCGTATTTATATTCACGTTGACTCACATAAATTTTGAATAAAAAATTTAACGTTAAGATTCTATTTTCACTTAATTGAATCCATGCTCGTTCTTTTTATAAAAACCAAAAATTAACTTAATAAATATAATAATAATAATGAGTAAAAATATATTTTTTATACAATAATTATATTAGTACTTAATTTTTTTTATAGTACTTAATAAACAATTACAAATAATTAATATTTTATTTATATAATATTAATTAAACATGTTGACCATGTTAATTTCGTATTATCACGCAAACAAAAAAATAAAAAAATATCAATTCTTAAATAAACGGATTGATCGTGTCAATTTTGAGTTTGACGGGTTAAATTCGAACATAACCCGTTTATATTTCGTGTTTGCATGTTGTGTCATTTTTGAATTCGTATCATAAAGTTGATGTGCTGTCGTGGAATTGCCACCTCTATCTCAAAGAAGAAGTTTACACTATGGAAAAGTTTGTTGTTTGTATCGTATTGCTATTATAAGTTTTTTGGTTTATTTTAAAATTTTTTAAAAAATTATTTACAATATTTGATGATTATTTACAAATTTTGCATGTTATTTACAATTTTTGAGATTATTTATGATTAATCTTAAATTTTTTAAGAACGATCTCAAATGATCTATAAAAATTATAACTTTGCACCATAAAATAGTGAGGTTCACTTTTAAATTTTATTATTTTTTATTAGATGTTAACGTCACATAATAATGATTGGTGGTATCCCAATGTACCACGTGTCTCATATCAGATCTGAAGGATCACAAGAGATCCGGCCCGATCTATTGAGAGTCAGTCTTTAGATTCTCTCCACGTCACCATATTTTCATCCTATGTGGTATCCGTTGAGAATCCTACGTGGCACGCTGGCTACCCCTAAGCCTCACAATATCCACGTCAGCAAACTCTGGGGAGAATATAAATATCTCTGAATATAATAACTATGTCTACAATGCTACACTGACCAAGGCGTATAAGTTTTCTCTATCCTCGTTTAGATTCTTCGATGCTTCTGAACCAGTAGAACTTCTTCTGCAGCATTTCAAAAAGCAAACCCTAAAAATGTGTTTTTCAATTTCACTGTGAATTTTGTATTTATGTCGCTGAATTTACATATTGTTTCTGTTTCTGATGTCTTTGTTTTGCTAGATTTTGGTGGATTGTGCTCTGTAGTGAAAGCTCTGTTCTTCATCAGTGAAGCTTTTGAGGTAATAATATTCGGAAATCAACCTAATATTTGTTTATTCGTTGTTTATATGTATTTATATATGTGTGTGTGTGTGTGTGTGCGTGTCTCTGTGCGTGTGTGAGTGTATATTTGTATGTATGTACATGTATATTCCTTATTTTTCTTGGTGAACGCTTTTGATTTTTATCGAGTCTTAGTGTTTGAATAATGGCATAAAGAATTACATGTTCATAGTTTTTCTTTTTATCAGATTTTCTGTTCATTAATTGAGTGGTATTATATAGTTCAAAGTTTGTAAATTGTTATTGGATGCTAGGATTTATGGTGTTATAGATTGTTGTTTGGTCATCATTAGGCAAGATTAAGTTCTAGTATACGTCTTCTTTCTGACAGGTTTAACTAATGAAATTAGGGGGAGAACTTGTGTTGTTTGAAAAAAAAAGGTTCAATACCCAATTGCCCTCCTTAATTGAGGGTGAGAAGAGGGATGGACTGGATACCGACCTAACCTTTGGAATCATGTGCACAAAATGGTGGCCTTGTTGGCCCAACAATTTTGCCACTGCAAAAGGCTATGGCCCCAATGTTGGAATTTGGAAAGGAGTTAGGATTCTAGGTATCACAATTCGTAGGTTGTTTTACTACGGTAACATTGCAGCCCCGGTTTTTTTTTTTCTTTCTTCATTTTTTCCTTTGTATTCTAATGAGTTAGATCAAATTGAATTGATTCTTGGTGGTTTTGGTTCATGTTTGACTTGGTGTCTTGAAATTTGTGCATTATGTGTTGTAGGATTTATTAAAGAGTTGTTTGAAAAGGTAGACCCCTTGAAGACAAAGAGTATGTGCAGCTTATCTTCCGAATTGGAGGTTTTCTTGCCAACTCAATCCAGCTCCTTATTCATCATTGGTCTGTTTGAATCTGGTTGATGAAGGGTCTTTGGGTGGACACGAATGGCACTGCCACTAAAGGGTTCCCAGAACTAGCTCACCATATGCGGGATGAGGAAAAAGGGGCGACGGCCGGAATTCCTGTTAATGGACAGGGCCTCTTTGTGGCAGACAAGTCATTGATAAATGTGGATACTAAAGATGTAACCAATGTGGGAATAGAGTTGGCCCAGGCCCAGGCTGTTCTGCAGAGGAAGCAGCAACAGCCTCAAGGGCCTCAAGGACCAGTGGTTTGCTGGGAGCAGTTTCTTCCTGTTAGGTCTCTCAAGGTTCTGCTGGTGGAAAATGATGACTCAACTCGCCATGTTGTCAGTGCATTGCTTCGAAATTGCAGCTATGAAGGTTAGTAACTCCTTTTTTTATTTTGTTATTTTGGATTGTTATGAGCATAGGTAACTCCTTCTACCAAGCATGAAATTTGATGATGACCTTTTCACTATGTGTAAAGAGGTCCATTAGGATGAGCATCATTAGCAAAAGGATCATTACAAGAATTTTTTTTTTTTTGGGGGGGTGGGTGGGGTGGGGGGCGGATTGGTGGTGATGTAGACTTTATTCATAGCCTTTCTCCTCTGAGACTCTCCCATTGTAATTTATTGCAATATATGCTACTCTTAACGATGCCACCTTTAAAAGAAACGGAGTTCTTTGTTGATTGTATGATAATTTAATGCCACTTCAAAGCCCTGTTCAGGCACATATTAAAATTTGTTGTATACTAATTTGTTATATCTATTGAAAGAATTTTGTTCTTCTATGAAGATTTTGCCTGCACACTGCAAAAGATGCGATATATCAGAAGTCATCTTCCTATGATTCACAATATTGGAATACATTTTAATTTGGTATCCAGATTGCAATTTCCAATGTTTAGCTCATACTTTCATCAATGTAGAGAAAGGGGGGTGACGATGTAGAATTTATCCATAACCTTTTCCCCTCTGGGACTGTGTTGTTTAATTTATTGCAATATATGCTACTCTTAAAAACACCTCCTTTGAAATAAAAGGAATTATTTTGATTGTATGATGATCGAATGCCACTTCAAAGCCTTGTCAGGCACATATTAAAATTTGTTGTGTGCTAGTTTGGTATATCCATTGAAAGACTTATATTCTTCTACGAAGATTTTGCCTGCACACTGTGAAGGACATGATATATCAGAAGTCATGTTCTTATGATTCACAAAAAAAATGAAAGACATTTTAATTTAATATCCAAATTGCAATTTTCAATGTTTAGTTCATACTTTCATCACTAGATATGGGGGTGGGGGAGATGTAGGCTTTATTCATGGCCTTTCTCCTCTGAGACTCCCATTAAAGCTGGTATGATTTTGAATACCTTCGGGATGTTGGAAGATCAGTTGACAGGCCCTTGCTTAAGAACTACAAGTCCTGCCTTGGGTAATTCTTTAAGCAAGCTTCCAATGTGGAACTCAAATAATCAACTTGAAACAACTATTGGGTGATGTAATTTGTTATGTGATCTGAAAGGCATGGATTATATCAAACTTTGGCGGCACAGATGCCTTTTCGTATAGTCTGCAAGTAAAATATTGTTCAGGGAAAGAAAGTGAGATGATGTACTATCCTCTTCTTCTCCCTGTTCTATTTTTCCCTTTCACCTTGTTCAAATTTCCCTTCTTTATGTGAAACAAACATTACGAATCCATTTCACTGAGCATTACAAATCATTTCACTGAGCTATTTGTAGGATACCAGTTGTTGAAGTCATAATGAAACCTCAATGTCTATTAGAAATACAATTCACAAGAACAACTAAGACAGGTCTCAAGCATAAAAATAAGAATAAAGCAAATGGTGTCTGATATGAAGTATCTACTATAATCATAAGTTTGGTAGCCTCTATGATTAGTTGACAACTTGAAATCCATCTAATGACCATGTTTTAACTACGTGGTGATCCAGTTGTTTAGCTTTTCCACTTCTGCTAACATTAGGATGAAGATAACCAAAAAAGACCTCCGAAATGATAATAACAAACAAAAATGGATGAGGTACCTAAGTTGAATAGATTGCTTCTATGCTCTGTGATACTTCGGGTCTGTTCCAACATTGGTTTAAAGCCATGATCTCACATTTTTGGTTATGAACGTATCTGTTGTGATGAATACTGTACGTTAATATCTTTCAAAATATAACTCAAGGATGCTTTAATCATTGAAGGATGTTAACTTAAATATATAGTATTAGTATTAAAGTTGTAGGGGTTGCTTACAGTTTCAGTACCTGATGTTTTCTTTAGATTGATAGCCTTCAACATTTGTAAGACATAATGCAGCCTTTATGTATTCCAGATATCCTGATCTTTATATCAACAAATGAGTTTTTTTTCACTTGTTATCTTGTCTAAGTTTTGCATTTTATGGGATCATTTTTCTTATTCTTTTCAGACCCTGTTAATTTTTTTCATTGCAGTGACGGCTGTAGCAAATGGTTTAGAAGCTTGGAAAATCTTACAAGATTTAACCAATCACATTGATTTCGTTTTGACGGAGGTTGCCATGCCATATTTATCAGGCATTGGTCTCTTATCCAAGATTGTGAGACACAAAACTTGCAACAATATCCCTGTGATTAGTGAGTATCAATTAGATTTTTTGTATTAGCTCTGTGATCATAACAGCATTCCTTCCTTGGTATTTTAACATCTTGATACTTTTAGCCAGGACTTCTAATGAGTTTTATGTGCAGTGATGTCATCTAATGATTCTATGGGTATAGTCTTTAAGTGTTTATCAAAGGGTGCAGTTGACTTCTTAGTGAAGCCTATCCGAAAGAATGAGCTTAAAAACCTCTGGCAGCATGTGTGGAGGAAATGCCACAGTGTGAGTCCATAAATTTACTCCTGTCTATAGATGAATATCTCATGGACCAGTTTAGGACTTCCACCCCAGGTTAATGCTAAAGTAGCATAATGTGGGGTGCCATTTATTGAAAATCTCCCACCACAAATGGGCTTTGATCGGTTCTGGGCCAAAAGACACATCATTGGACCAGATTCAACCGAGGATGTTTCTTAAAACTCTGCTACTATTTGATTTAGCTGATCTTTCTTTCTCAGTTAACTACCAATCACCTCCCTAATCACCATCTCTTTGTTCTGTTTTGCATTAATTCTCATCCTTTCATCAGTCTAGTGGGAGTGGGAGTGAAAGTTGCATTCAGACCCAAAAATCCGTGAAGTCAAAAAATACTGAAGGGTCAGAGAATAACACTGGCAGCAATGATGAGGATGACAATGGGAGCATCGGTCTGAATGGAAGTGATAATGGAAGCGGCACTCAGGTAGTACTTATCCTCTGAAAGAAATGGCAGCTGTCCAGCATATTACTTTTTTACTAACCTTTCTACATATAGGCATCCTCACACGCATTCTTTTATGCATATGCATATGTAGTATATGTATGGTTGTCAGCAATAATAATAATTCGACGATCTGTTCACCTAATCGACGGTTGCTTCAGTTTTTGAAGTATTTATTTATAGTTTAGTCTGTCTATTACATTTTTCTGCAGCTTTTGATTTGTTGACAAAATGTCTGGTTGCTGCATTAGCATTCACAAAATTTATGGTTCTTAAATAGGCGTTGACATTTACTATAACAGTGTGAGGGCAGATTCCTTGTAGTGTTAGTACCGTATACAAGTAAACTAGGTGCCAGTCTGATGATTAAAAGATTAAGTAGCCATGGGCTTTATATTTACTGGTAATTCACATGGTCAAAACAACAAATCAATCATTAAATCATGAGAAGGGGTGAAAAATATAAGTATAGTCACATATACAGATGTCACTTTCTCTCTGGGAGGGAGAGTAATAACTTGCATGTATGTGGGTAGAAAAAAAAGCTCAAAATGATACATTTAAAGCCCTTGGTATGTCTAGCTTCAGTTTGGCAATAAACATGGACAACCATCCCATACTACCGGATGAATGTCAAAACTGGTGGTACAAAAGGAGACACCGTCTTACTGTGTAGTTTAGAATTTAAGGCATACAAAGACAGTTGATTAATGAGACATGCACCTACGAGAACAAAATTGTCCTAGTAGGCTTCAGGAACATGTGTGAAATCATTAAGGTTCTGGCGAAGACAGATGACAGGTTTCAAGTCAATAATTCCAGTATGTCTGGGAGTATTAGCATTCTTCTGATTCTTCAGCCAATATTTATGTAACTGTGATTCAGAACCCCATAACAGTACACCCCACATTTTTCTTACCTGAAGATTTTTGTAGGTGTGTCAAATTAATTTGTAAATCATATCCATAGGGACTTGAAGCAAGAGTATCGTGCTTTACAACTCTCAATAAAATAGCATACTTTTACAGCCATATAAAATCGTGAAACAAGAAATATCCTTGTGGATATTAAGGAACCCAAAAACATAAGCTGACATACAGCAAGATCGTAGCAACATTTGAGAGCTATCTGTTGACTGTCTAATTCTGACCTCCACATAGAGAAGCAAATGACCATGGACAGTGGAAAGGATTTGCATCCTCGAATGAATCAAGGCCCCCAAAATGGGTAAGTCACTACCAAAGCACAATGTAGTGTGTGGCCTGCATGTGGGGTTGGGGGTGAGTGACCAGGGATCAGGGATGGCAGAAGTGGTTCCCTCATTCGAAATGGTCCCTGGACAAATTGACTAATCTAACCTTGAGCAGGCATTATAATAGTTGGGTGAAGGTGTGCCTAAAAATTCCAAGCAGAAAGGGCCTATATGAATGCTTCTTGGCCTATCCGGAAAAAAGGGAACTCAAGTTGTCTATCTGAAAACACATGGCAGACCACACACATGCCTTGGGCATGCTAGAAGACTGCTCACTATTTCATTCATGCTTGTAGTAGATCCTTATGGGACGACACTCAACAGCATTATGGTAAAGACTGACCACATTGGCACTGCAGAAATATTCCTTTCACCCTTGCCAAAGGGACTAATGTCCTTTACAGGGTGATGGCAGGGATAGAACTCTTGTCCGAGCTATCCATTGGCAATTTTTTGCGCGTAGACGTCCTCAGCCTCAAACCCATATTCCATGCTTGGCAATCTAATCTTAAAATGAAACTAGAATCTAAATACAAGGATGTTAACCTGCCCTCCAAATTCATGTTTGTTCACGTTAAAAGCTACCGCCACTTACGTTCAGCCACCATTCTATTTGGGTTGCTCCGTTCTTGAATCAAATTCCCAGACATCCTCTTAAACTGTGTTCTCCTTCTAGGGCAATGGACCCTTGACCCATCAATCTGTATATGGGCAGGAGTTTCACATAAAGCAAAGGAACAAGGACATAAAGGACTGTGCTCAGCCTGACGTAATATATTAAGAACAGACTCACCTGCCTTTACTTTTTAGATCAAACGTTTCGAGAGACTGTTATTGAAGGAGACTTGAGCACCTATGATATTGTGTTCCTAAGCTTGTTTTCACCTATGAAATGATTTAAGTGTGTGTTTTTAGTAGTTTTTTTCAGAGTGTCTTTGTCCAGGCTTACAGTTGGTACACCAGGTTAGTGCTGGGCTCAGATAGGCCCTTTCTGCTACTAGGAAGAGATGTTTTTCATGCTGAAAGACCTCTTTGTGGGTCCCCAGTAAGGAAACTCTGTGGGTTAGCAAAGGCTTGAACTTTTATGTACAAAGGTCCACTCAGAAGATTATGCAGTTCCATGAACCTCTGTTGAAGGACACCCTAGTCAAAGTATGGTCTACAGTGTAACTCCTATTTTCCAATATAAGCTTGAAAAGTAGCATCATAAGTCACCTTCTCACGTAGATCAGGAGGCCTCATACCCTGAAGTTATATGTCCATATAAATAACCAACACAAATCTCTAGCTTCATTAAGTTTGAGAACTGAAATAGGGATTCTTTGCACCACTTCTAAGAAGTTGGAGTCACATTCATTCTTTTTTTGATCTTTCTATTCACATTACATGTTATATCTCCAATTGGACAAGAAACATGGCTTACTGGGATCAAGAAAGATAGTAGCTTTCATTGAGCTTTATTGTAGTAAATTGGAAATGGGGGTTTTCCTTTAGGGGACCAACACACCCACTACCCTATGAGAGAGTTATTCCTGAAATGACTTTCCTGCGACATTCTAGGTGCAGTACGGACCAATACAAATATGTGTAATGATGAAATACAAGCAAGCATGCAGAACAAATGGAGCCATGGGCTGTAAAAAGGCAGTGTTTGTGATTATGTGATGTGTCTTACAAATGTATTGCCAAAATTTGATAAAGTCAGTTTTCTTCATATTCATAAGGTGTACACTTCTAGCTTGCAAGCAAAACTGAAGCCAGTTTAATCTCCTGAATGTGTTATTCTGTTCTTGTTTGCACTTTGCAGAGTTCTTGGTCAAAGAAGGCAGCAGAAGTTGACAGCCCACAACCGATGTTACCATGGGATCAGTTAGCAGATCCCCCTGATAGCACTTGTGCTCAGTTTATTTCCTTAATGCCTGAAGCCTTTAGCAATAACTGGGTGCCTAGAGCTGACAAAGTGGACTGCCACAAACAGGACAATGCACTTGGTATGTGTGGCTCTATTCTCCACAAAATCACTGTTGCGCTTCTCACTAATATCATCGGTGACTTTAATCTTTTGGGTGCAACCATGCTGTATCTTACTCTCAGCAAATGCTGCAATGGGCAAAGACTTGGAGATTGGAGTTCCTGGAAATTCAGATCTCCAGATTGAAGATCCAAGAAAAAGAGCATTGAACAGTATGGCAGGTACTAATAAGGACAAATTTTCTGATTTAGACTTAAAGAGAGATTGCGAGACACCAGAAAAGATGAAACTGGAGTTCAACACTGAGGTACCAAATCATGAATTGAGGAATGAAGCTGCTGATTTTACGGTTTCCATCGTCAATGGTACTATTCATCATGTGAAAAGTGTAGCTGCTGCAGTTCCAAATAACCTGTCTAAGACCACCAACATGAAAGATAAGGCCACATGTGATATTGAGGAAATGGATTTCCTTGATCTCGGCCTCAAGAGACCCAGAGATGTAGGATATAATGGAACCAGTACGGGGAAGTGCAATGTTTTGAGACATTCAGCAGGCCTTTCAGCCTTCTCTAGGTATTGAAACTAAAAACCTACATAGTTTTTTCTGATAACCGTTACCATAGTCCTTAATTAGACATTTTATATGATTCTCACTACCATGCAGGTATAACACCTTTTCAACTGCTAATCAGGCTCCAACTGGGAACGTATGCTGCTGTTCTCCACTTGATAATAGCTCAGAAGCAGCAAAGACAGAATCAGCACACAATTTACAATTTCGGTCAACTGGCACTCCTAATCATTCTTCTAATGGCAGTAGCAACAACAATGATATGGGTTCCACTACAAATGGCATTTTCACCAAGCCAGAAGCATTTAGTGATAAGCCGATACCCAAATCTATGGTAAAACACCCACCCCTATTCTGCCTTTCAACCAGTATAATATAGCCGTAATCCTTCCCTTCGGCCTGTATTACAGGGTAAGGTTGATGCCACAACAGTGAACACTGTCTTGACACAAGCAAGGGCAATGCACCAGCAGGTCCAAGTCCAGCACCACCATCACCATTACCACCATCATCACCATCATGTCCACAACATGCAGCAACAACAGCAACTGCCCAAGAATGATGATTTATCTTCAAGAAACATGGTTGCAGCAGCTCCACATTGTGGGGCATCCAACATGTTAGATACACAAATCGAAGGAAATGCTGCTAATTATGGGAGTGCTTCTGGAAGTAACAGCAGGAGTAATGGGCAAAATGGTAGCAGCACTGCTGTGATGGCTGAAGGAGTAAATGTGGCAAATGATGATGGAGTAGCGGAAAATTGTGGAGCGGTAAGTGGAAGTGGCAGTGGAAGCAGGAGTGGGGTAGATCAAAACTGTTTTTCACAGAGAGAGGCTGCTTTGACCAAATTCCGCCAGAAGAGGAAAGAAAGATGCTTTGAAAAAAAGGTGATTGGTGTTTGGTGTGTTAACATTTATATTGGACAACAATGTAGCATAAAATACTCTTTGGGACATAACATGAAAAGAATCTAATGCCCAGCGTGAACATTCATTGAATTCATTTGGCAATCAAGAACTCCCCTATTTTACATTCTCACAATGCCACACTCTTACACGGATGCATGTACACAAATGCACATGCGCACACACACCCAAACACCAGCCACCATGTATAGGTATATTATTCCACAGCCTCTGTGGGAAACATTGGTACCTATGGGAATTTTAAGTTTGTTTTTGCTTGAAATTGTCCTCTACAGTCCAGACTCTGTTCTATTTTTCTTATGAAGAAAAAATAATGGTTTTATTTTTTATTTTTTTCTCACTGCTTTCAGGTCAGATACCAAAGCAGGAAGAGACTTGCAGAACAAAGACCACGTGTTCGAGGGCAATTTGTTCGACACGCTGTTAATGAAGACACAACCCAGGGCATATAATGCTAACCCTGCCCTTCTGCCTAAAGGTGCGTTTGGAATATGTACATGAATATTCGTACAAATTGCATATATAGTAGGGAGCATTTTGATTCCATGGTGGTGATGTGATGACTTTTGAATGTATTTATGTTGTCTGACTTATATGACTGCTACTACTAATAGACAGGTGGTTTTGATCCCCTTTGCTAGAGGGATTTTAAAAATATCTCTGTAAATTTTTTGCTTCTTCAGGTTTTTTTCGCTTCTTGCCTGCTTTTCACTGTATTTGAGCTCATCTGTTCTTATCTCTTGAACTGTTTTCTGGGTTTGGAACTGTACCAAATTTGCCCATACAACCATCCAACAACAGAGACCACACTTGGGAAAGGAAGATGGTTGGTATCTAAGGAAATCTGTGATGATTTTTGACAGATTAAACATCACCCATTTAATCTGAGAGAGAGAGAGAGAGAGAGAGACTGACCTCTTGGTGAGGAGCTTTGAGAAACTTTGATTTGTGCAGCACTGCAGCTATGGCCACCTCTTTCAACGAGTCCATGACTTGCCCTAAAATTGTGTGTGTGAGAGAGAGAGAGAGAATTGGTTCCATCTAGAAGGATTCGGCAGAAAATAACAAGAAAAAAGAACTTGACCTTTTTACAGGAGAGAATTGAGTTTTACGTCACTGCTTTTAGTTTCAACTCCTGTACATTTACAGAGAAGAACTCTTTTACGTCCATGCAAAGTGTTAAATCCCATCCTAAATATAGAAAGGTGGCACAATCTCATGTGAAATATAAGATAAGATTGTCCTGAGGGTAAAAAAAATAGATTCATACAAATTGAATTACAAGAAACGCACAATCTACACTACTATACAAATAGTGAGGCTCGATTCAGATGATAACTCAGGATGAATAAATACTTGTGGGGAATATTAGTCGTGCGAACGAAGTCAACTATATATAGTCTACTATTTAAGGGAACTATTTTTAGTGTCTAATCTACTATTTAAGGGAAGGAAAATGAGATCGAACCCGCCTTTGTGACTGATCAGACTTGATCCAAATTATGGCAGGGTGAGAATAGTTCCTTAATTACTCAGGCAGTCCCGTGTTACGTGTACATTTTCGAGGGATTTAGAAGAAAAAAAAATCAATCTTACCTGCTTCACTGTATGTTTGCCACTTATCCATGAGGAAAACGTGTTTCTTTTTTTTCACCAAGCCTTCCATAAAATTTTAATATATGCATTAATATGTAGAGCTAATTGTAATTATGATAATGCAACTGTCAAATTTATCACCGCATAATTTATTGGCCAATTAAGAAGCTGGTGGGATAACTATTTAAACCAAATTCAAAGAAATGAAATATTAAATGCAGTCAAGATAACAATAGTAGAAGATGAGAGTATAATTACCCAAGAAGATGTTGTATACACATTAATACAAATCATATTAAAACACTTTGTTGGAACCAATTTTCAAAATACTGATAAAAGTAAAAAATTCTTAATGAATTTAAGATGTCCCATCTTAACACATTTTAGGTGGTATAAAGATGTATTTTTGGCTAAAGTTTTATTACATCCAGATACCAATAATGAATTCTGGAAAGAAAAATTTAAATTCGGATTGCACAACTTATTTATTGAAAAAATAAAGATTCATTTAAAGCAAAGACATGGAGGATTTAAAATCCCTTATGAAAATTATATTTATGGGGAACTAATTTCTGAATGTATTTTGAAAGGATTAACTCTCTGCAATGATTTAAATCTTAAAGTTCAACTTAAGAGACAAAGATTAATTGACAGAAAAGAACTTAGAGAATTTTGTAATCAATTTGCTTATAATCTTGATATTCCAAAAGATAAGGTTTCTAGTAAAAAAAAAAAACCTTACACTAAGTCTTATAAAAAAGGTAGAAAACTCTATAAAAAGAGTTATGTTAAGGAACAAGAAAAGATTAATAAACCCACTAAAAAATCTAAAGATAAGAAGCCTCTTTTCAAATATTTAAGTGTGGATAAAAGGGTTATATTGCCTCAAAGTGTTCAACTAAACAATAGATTAATTAATTAATTAATGATGAGGACCTTAAAGAGAAAATCTTTAAAATTGTATTAAACTCAGAAAGTGAATTAGAAGATTATTCCGATGGTTTCTCTTCTAAAGATTACAAAATTAATAAAATTAATAATTCATCTTCAGAAAAAGAATTTTTAAAACAAGATAAAACTTGTTCTTCACATTGTAAAACAGAGAACGATTATTATAAAATTATTTTAGTTATGAATGGATTAAGTATAAATACTTTGACTAAAATCACAAACATTTATTCTTGATCTCATAGATAAAATTTAAGATCCAGATTCTAAAAGAAAGAGTATTGAATAATAATTAAAGATAAATCAAGAATAAAAGAGACTTAATTTGTCTCAACCGTATTCCTTAAAGGAAGTCCTTAATAGGACAGAAAGTGACATTATTGATAATCCACTACACATAAAAGAAGTCTTTTCTATGACGGTACAAGATTTAAGAAAAAAAATTCACAATGTTAAAGAAGACATAAAAGTCATAAAAGCTAGACTCTTAGTTTTAGAAAAATTGCCACTTAAAAAAAGTGACATAAAATATGACATAAAAGTAGCACCATCACATTTTTTTAATAATGAATACTTGAATGTATTATAAAAAATAATTTATCAGAAATTGTATGTTAAAATTATATTAGTTATAAATTCTGAATTTACTGTCGAAACTATTGTTTTAATTGATAGTGGAACAGATATGAATTGCATAAAAGCAGTATTAATTCCAACTAAATATTTTGAGAAAACTATTCAATCATTAAGTACTACTGATGGTTCAAAATTAAATATAAATTTTAAAATTTCTTATATTTTTATGTGTAACCAAAGAATTTATATTCCTACAACTTTTATACTTATTGATAATTTAAATCAATTAGTAATTTTGGGAACACCATTCTTATATTTAATTGAATCTATAGAAATAATTGATTCTAAAGGAATTTTGACTACTATAAATGATCAACAAATATTATTTGAGTTTATAAGTCTACCTCAAATAAAGTTGATAAATCAAATAAAATAAAATCTGATTCATAAAGAAAACTAATTAAAATTTTCATCAACTTCTAATATATTGGGAAGTGGTGTTTATTTTGCAGGAAAAATCCAATAAGTTCTAGAAATGAGTCCTAGCACAGATTCATTTTCTTTGGACATTATTACCAAATCTCTAGAACTTCTTGATTGTATTTGTGATTATGCAAGTGAAGATATTTTTAACTTTGCTTTTACCTGGCGTACTGATTATTGCAAGGTCTCACTTTGGTGTCTCTATTGCAATGCTATGAAAGATTAATTACTTGATCATGTTCCTATCTTTTTGTTAAGAATTGCAAGAGCACAAAAAAAATTGTTAAAATTTAATCTTATACTTGAAATTAATAATTTGTATTATGATTGGAAATATAAACAATGAACGGAGAATACTATTCCATAAGGGTTTTGTCAGCTCATGCTAACAAAACTTGGGGGTATACTGGTAAGAACACAAGTCTTTGCATATAAAAATGCATACTATTATGATGAATATAAGACTTCTTTCTATGCATATAAAAGTGTATATTACTTTAATCCATATAATGATGCATATTATTTTAATGCATATAAAAACACTTATTATCCTTCACTTACTATGAAGAAACTGTCACATAAAGATGATCTTGATAAAGTCAACCTGTCAAAACAACTTAAAGTTGTTAAAACATCCTTGTCAGATAAAGTTGACAATAAAGAAATTTTGTCCGGAGATAAATATCTCTCTATAATTCCTAGAATTTTAACATTATTTCCATATATGGAGATAATTATCTCTTTTGGAATATTATTAAAAGGATATACCTTGAAAAAATGAAAAAATTATTTGACTTGTATAAAGACGAAAGTCCGCCCTTAAAGGACAATGATATAGCAACTAAGCCAATTATTAATTTCTCACTCGAATTCTTTGTTCCATGGATTTGGGTGTGGACATTGGCTTGTGATTTAAATCATAACGGACATCTCAGATTAATCAGGGAATATCATGTTCATTACTAAAATAACTATTCCACTGGCTCTAAATGTCATATTATTGAAAAATGTCTTAAAGACTTGGAAAAAGAGGAAGAAAAACATTCATCATCTACGGCTATAATTTAATTGGTTTTCTTTATGAATCATATTTTCTTTTATTTGATTTATCAACTTTATTTGAGGTGGAGTTATAAACTCAAATAATATTTGTTGACAATTTATAGTAGTCAAAATTTCATTAAAATCAATTCTTTATATAGGTTCGATTAAAGATAAGAATGGTATTCCCAATTACTAATTAATTTAAATTATCAATAAGCATAAAAGTTGTAGAAATACAAATTCCTTGGTTATATACAAAAATATTAGAAAGTTTAAAAGTTATGTTTAATTTTGAACCATCAGCGATACTTACTGACTGAATAGTTTTCTCAAAATATTTAGTTGGAATTAATTATGATTTTATGCAATTCATATCTGCTCCACTGTCAATTAAAATAATAGTTTCGATAGTAAATTCAGAATTTATAACTAATATGATTTTAACATACCATTTCTAATAAGTTATTTTTTCTAAAACATTTAAGTATTCATTATATAATAGTGATGCTTTTATGTCATTATTTATGTCACTTTCTTTAAGTGACAATTTTTCTAAAGTTAAGAGTCTAGCCTTGATGACTTTTATGTCTTCTTTAACATTGTGAATTTCTTTCCTTAAATCTTGAACCGTAGTGGAAAAAACTTCTTTTTCATGGAGTGGATTATCATTCATGTCACTTTTTCTCCTATTAAGGACTTCCTTTAGGGAATAAGTATGAGACAAATTAGGTCTTTTTTCTTCTGAATTTATCTCTAAATATTGTTCAATTGTTTTTTTTTTAGAATTTGGATCTTGAATTTTATCTATAAGATCACGAATAAATGTTTGTGACTTAGTTAAAGTATTTATACTTAATTTTTTCATAGCTAAAATAGATTTTTTATAATAACATATAGATGCAACATATCCAAATTTTCCACACTTAAAACATTTGATGGACATTTTGTCCTTTTCTTTAAATGAGTTAGTGGGTTTGGTAAACTGTCTCTCTTTATTGGCTTCGTTTTTATCATTCTCCCTTTTTATGGAAAAGTTGGTTTGAATCTTCTTTTAGAGATTCAATATTTGAAATGGTTAACACTTTATCTTGTAGGTTTTCATCAATTAATTCATTGATTAGCTGAGTTTTAGACTTAGATTGCTTTAACATTTCTGTTTGAGAAATGTTATTTAATTTTTTTTTTTGAGTTCAGTTAAACTCGACTTCTTTAATATCTGGATAATAAAAATTTATTTTTTCAGAAAACTTTTTGATTTCGTTTAATTGATTTATATTAGGGGGAACATGACAGGTCAAAAATCATGTAACAAAATGAATTATCTTTTTTTTTCTTTTTATATAAACATAAAACATTTCTTTATAATTTTGAAGTTCTTTCGAACTCATTGTTTTAAAATACCAATTTCTAAATTCTTCATATTAGGAAGATAAAATTCTTTATTATAAGTTTTCTTTATCAACTGTAATTCTCTTAGGTGTAAATTCATAGACACTATAGTTGGAAGCCAATTTCTAATAGGATTGGATCTAAATCCTCCTGTAGGGAAGATTCATTATTTGGTGTATATATACCATATGGAATATTATTTTTTAAAAATTTAATTCCTTCAATTATGAATTATTTATCTCTGCTTCGATTTTAGACCGAAAAATTAGATCTTCTAAAAGAAGAATAACAAATTGATGAAGTTTCTGATTTATCAGAAGATTTTATATAATTTCTAGAATTAGTGCTAGCAAGTCTTATTATAACATCACCCTAGGATGATTGGGTGATTTTAGTTATTTCTTTATTTATCTCTGATTTTTTAGGAACCATAGACTCCAATTGTCAAGTTTCTGAACATTGAATTTCTGGCCTTTTAATGGTTTTAGAGACTTCAATTTTATTTTTAATTGTATTTGTTTCGATTAAATTTGTTTGACCTTTAAGGTTAAGAAGTTTAACTTCAGAACATAAAGTATTCATAATTTTATAATATACTCTATATGTAAACACAATTATGTCGGTGTCGTCTTTATAATTATAACCATAATTTTTAATATTATATGTTAAAACATGTAAGATATTTTTATCTGTTAAAGATACAGAAAGATTAGGAAAATAGTTAAAATAAACAGGACCAATATTTAAGCTGGATTGCATAACTCCCATTAAAGATTGATCATAATCAAGACATCTAGCATCTCTTAGTACTAACATAAAATGGACATTTAATCCTTGAAGAGTTAAAGGTTTTAAAGCAACTTGAACTAATCCAATATGCATAAATTTATAATTATTATCTTGAGCCTTTAAAACTTTTCTTTCAGTTAACAGCTCTAAAATACCTTCATTCTGATTAAAAGGAATAGTCCTTTCAATCGTTTTAATTGTTAAACTCGATTTAAAATTAAAAGTACCAATATTATAAATTTTTTAGTGGGGTACTGGAGTATATTCCAGTTCTGTAATTTATTTTCAATATCAGAGAATTATATTTCTTCCATATTTTTAAAATAATCATCTTTATGATTAAATTTAAATTTAAATAGGTTTAAAGGCATTGTGGTATCTTAAGGGTTGTTCTGTTGACTTATATGTTTCACTATTACCTTCTTTTAGTTCCGACTGTAATTAGTCTTTCAATTCTAGTACAGTACTGCTACAGTGACAATTGTTACTATAATTCTGCTATAATGACTTCTCAACATCCTATTTTTGCAATCAATACTATCAACGCTCTCCAAGGACCACACACACAGCCTAAGACTCCTATCTCACGGAAAACGGCCTAACAACATCACCAAAATGTGACATTGATGCAAAATCATAAGAAGCCCAAAGAAATATTATTATAATAAAATTAAACTAACAATTTCATAATAACAGTAATCTAACAGAATTAAATCACAATTATACAAGCAACAAGAATTATATATATTTAGAATAGCATAATCATAGAAGCTTCTCACCAAAGCCTCTTGTAGGTACTTTTCACATTAACCATTAGATCGAGATCCAACAGTTACTAGTTAAAGAAGATCAAAATTAAATAAAAACACTTACCAAGTTAAACTATTAACTAAAAAATAAATTTCATTGTGAAATTGATTACAATCTTTATCATATTAAGAAAGTATATTTAATTTTTTTAAATCAAAATCTTTTCAAACAAATTAACTCCTTGACTAGAATTGGTTTATACCAACTGTTGCAACCCATCTAAGATTAATTTCTTTAAACCATTTCACACTCACAATACTCACCATTTGTAGGACCCATCTAGTAAATCATACAATTTTTTTTCCATATTGTCCTTTCACTAAGTGCATATTGATTCGTGCTATATTTTTATTTTTCTTCACTTATTTCATTATTTTTAGATTCATTTAAATTGAGTTATAATTTTTTTTTATCCGAAAATTGAATTACATATTACACATCAAAAGTTGGTATAAACCAATTTGAGTTAATAGGTTCACCCGTGTGACAAGTTTTTTTTACTAATTTGGCTGAAAATATTTGATTTAAAAAGGTTAATTTAGTTTTCTTATATGATAAAGATTGTAATTAATATCACAATGAAATTTCCTTTTTAGTTAATAGCTTAACTTGGTAAATTTTTCCATTTAATTTTGGTCTATTTCTACCAGTAACTGTTGGATTACGATCTAACGGTTCATGTGAAAAGTATCCACAAGAGACCGTGGTGTGAAGCTTCCATCATGACACTACTATATAAAGTCCCCCATTCATACATTCTTTATATATTTTTACACATATAATGGATGATCAAAGCATTGCGTAAAATTAAAAAACACAACATATTGGAGACCTCGATTCTTAATCACTTACTCGAGTCATTGGTCATGTTATCTGAGAATATCTCCAACCTTAACTCAAAATTAGATTTAAATTTAAATTTGACTAAAAAAACCCAAAAAAATTGATCTAACCTTTCACTCAAACTTATACCCAGTCAAGAGAGACTCATTTTATTTACTCAAATTAAGGGAGATTCAATTTTTTACCCAAATCTTTAATAGTTAAATTTCTCCCACTTTTAAAGATTTAATAATTATCTTTACTCTCTTTTAAATTTTGAATTTTGCTTCATTTAAATTTAAGTTTTTCCTTCTTTAAATTTGAGTTTGTCCATTGAATCTTTTTGTATCAAATTAAGTTTTTTACTCAAATATTATTTAAATTTTAATCATGGTTAGAGATACTCTGATATGAATGGAAAACCTTTGCAATTATCTCAATTATAAGGATAGAAAAGGTAATAATATTAAAGGGGATCCCAAGACCTTGTCCATCGACTTAGCATGAAAAGGTTTTTAATCTCTTTTTCTCTAACTAGGAGGTATTTTGGTCTCTTAAATGCAAGTGTAATTCTTGTGATAAAAAAAAAAAAAAAATGCAAGTGTAATCCCTTACCAAAAATCATTAGTAAAAAATTCCATTAGGTGGTCACATGGGGATACTCGAACTCAATATCTCTAATTTTACACACTGAATTCCTGATTAACTTGACTATCTTTGAAATTGAAGACCTTAACATTCATCGGTCGGTGTTAATTAAAATTTTATGCCCAGAGTAAGCTTGTGCCTAGACATTCTATGGCTGCCCCTTCTCCCCCAATAGGTCTTGCTATTAATTGGTTCTCTTCGTGTACAGATGGAAGGATAAAAGTTTCGGGCCAAGTAACCTGACAGATTCATATTTCTTCAGATTACATGGAAATCATATTTAGAGTAATAACAAGTAATCATACATCTAAGTAACACGGCATCGAAATAAGTTTGGAAATTAAGACCCTACTACTAGATGACGATAAAAAAATAAAATTGTCTACTACTTAACTCTTTTTTTTTTTCTTTTTTAAACTATTTTTTTTGGGTCACTATTTAAAATTTTTACAAGTGAGGGTTGGTAAAGTACGAAGATCGAGTTGGTAAAGTTCAAACCCACAACCTAATGGTTTAATGGCAAGTTGCAAAGCCATTAGGCCACCGCTTATCTCCAAAAAATGAGAGTCTAAAGTATGACCTTACGACACAGTCTAATACGTTTCAAACTGCTCCCAAATTAGAACTTCCAGTGTAGTAGATCAGTACCAAAAGACAGCCAAACCAAATGGGTTACATAGGAATATGATAAAGACTAGGGAAGAAGGGTAAAAAGCTTAATGGTACATAAATTATTGAGGAAAAAAATGAAGGAGAACACAGACGACTACACAGTACCCTAGCACACATTCGATTATGCTTAGCACCTTAGCAGCATAGAACAAACACGGACAAAGAAAGACGAAAGAAACAACTTGCAATACAAAAACTACTTGAGAATAACCCATTGTATATACTACCCAAGACATTATCAGTTCCTCATCTCATAGCTATACAGAAAGACTAATTTTTTCCCCATAATAGAGCATTACAAGAACCTTAAGGGTTATACAATTGGGTAACCACAAATAACATGTTTTTTTTTACATTTTCTCCTCTCGCCTTACATTATTAGCACTACTTCAATGAACAAACAAACAAACAAACAATGGATGGATATGAGCTATATATTGATTCTCTTGGGGAGAGAGAAAAAAATGGAAAAAAGATACAGACAAGAAAACTATACCTATGCTGCCCCCTGAACTGACTTCAATGCAGAGGAATGTTTCCCCAAGTTTAGCCATGCAGCAAAGGATGGGAATTAGAGGAACCCTGCAGTCTTGCTCTTTGACGCTTTATAATCTCTCCTCCCCTTGATGGTCATTATTGTTATCGTCTTTCTGCTGGGTACTTGGACTCTCTACTTCATTGGTAGACTTGCCATCAATTGGTTCCTCGGCATTAATAGGCTTCCCCTGTTGCATTAGTATTCAACACCAAATTCAGTATACAAATCAAGCACAATTGGGTATTTCTTATATTTCTGTGAAAAAACAATAGGCATGCTGTTTCTTTTACTTAGGTACAACATACAAGGACTCGAACAATTACTTGACCATGGGACGATAAAAAGGCCACCCTGGCAGCCATTTCATTCTTTGGAAATAGTCTACCATTTGTTTCACACAGTTTTGAAATAAATAATTAGTAGCACCTACAAATAAATTTTCTAGGCTAAAAAAAAAAAAAGGGAAGCAAGCTGCCAATGCCATACGAAATGGCAGCGATCTTTCAGAATGATATTCTAATGTAAATAACCATAATAGCAGACGACCAATTAACATGCTCTAATATTATGCTGGTTTTCCGAGAATACTCAATAACCAAGACAAAATAATTCTGAAAAGAGTTGTTCATATTTAAATGGTAATACAAACATAAGCTTACAATCTGAATGAAAGGATTTTGATTGCTTGACTAACTAGGTGTTTTCTTTTTTGGATGAAGGGCACCATAAAATCAATTATTATTGCTATAGTTCTGTCATACTATCACCAATATATCTTCTCTTTTTAATTCTGTTTCTATGTTTTTATTAACCTTGGTGGAGGAATGATGATTAAATAGTTGGAACATGAAGCTCCCTTTTCTGAGTGGATTAGTCATGGTGTCTGCTGTAACAATGTTTCTGATGTTGGTTTGGTAAAGCTGGTGATAGGCCGCCCCACATAAACATGGAAAGTGTTGGTTAAAGTGAGTGAGGGCTGGGTTCTTCTAAACTTCAACATAGGAACAGCCAATTTGTCAAAGTGTCACCTTCCATGCATCATTTTCCCCAGAATAAGCTAAAGCATCCATGAGCTACAGTTCCACTTAATAAAATCATCCATGTATCTAATGAATAATTAAAATGGTATCATGAGGATTATCTACTGCGCTAGAAATGTGCTGTCCACGGCATGTCAGCTTTACCACAAGTTCCACGCATTTGAAAGCATGAAAAATAGATTCAATCAAAAGATCAACTTCGCAGAGGGCACAGGTTATCAATCCTTAAAGGAAACTTGTCGCATCAGAGTTGAGATAGTAACTTTCCATCCAGTTGAGTGCGCATCATATCTGGCTTCAATTTATCAAACTTTCCTTCAATATTTCTCACCCTTTTCAAGAATCCTCATCCCATTTCCACCCAATTTGAACAATGAACTATTTACACCAATGGAAAGAAAATAGCACAGTTACTTCCTCTACATTCTTGCTCCAACTAGGGAAACAATTTGCTGACGACAGCAATTATCATGATTCCAGTTTCAGATAGACTTTTTTATTTCATGGTGATCGTTCATACAAAGTTCAGCTGTTAATCCTCAGATTTGGTGAACAAAGTATATTTTTATATAATAGTAATCATCATAAATGAAATCCATAGTAACGGTCTCGCGTATGCCTTTAATAGCCACCCTAGACTGTATCAAATGTTTTCTAAAACAAACTTTTATTGCAATATCAAGAGTGTAAAATAGCAATTATTGTTGAATTTAATCAATACAAAAGCTAACCTTGTTTCTGTCACGCCAGCCAAGCCCAAATGGTCTGGAAAGCAAACTGATCTTTCTTGTGGGCAGCTCTTGTGAATCTTGATTGCTTCGTCCTGGTGAAGAATCTTGCTGTATGGATCTGCACAGGAAATTGTGTTTAATGTGATAAAAAATAACAACCATTGAGGTAAAATATGCATGCTGATTTAAGTGGGCAGCATTCATTTCCTCATACACAAACATGGCATTGTACATGTGCAACTGATGCTGGATATAAAAATATAAAACTAAAAAGAACCACCACGAGAGTATTAGGTACCATGTTGCTAGAGTCACCAAGATGAGCCAAGAGAACAACAAAATACAATCAAAAGGGCATTGTGATAAACCTTGTCAATGTGGAAAAAAAAAAAAAGAACCTAAACGAGGCATACAAAATCTGAAATCTGCAAGAATGAGTTACCGTGGAGAAGGTAGTGCTTTATTTTGACCAGATTGGTACTGCAAGGTAGCTTCCAACATTGACTCTGCCATAACTACTCTCTTCTCCATTTCAGCAAGGGAAGCAGTGGCCTCTTCATATTTCTCCTGCACAGAAAGAGTTGTTGTACTAGTATATTACAATCACAGAACAACAAACTATGTCATCCGCTATTCTGCAGTAGATGATTAAATATGTAGTCTATTGAACCATCAGGTCTAATTTAGCTTGCCATCTTGAAACACAGTCACCACACGAAAGTAAGGTTTATGATAATAAAGAATTGGGATGATTGTCATCATTAAGGTAAGCATGGCAACGATAGAAAAGATGAAAAGAATAGAAAAAAAAAAAAGAAAGAGTTAAATGTCCAGGATTTTGATAGCAACAGCTAAAGCATAATAGTTGGATTTTATGCAGGATTCCAGGCTCTCTGTTGAGTCAATATCATAGAAACCCAATTGATACATATTTTCTAAACCCTTCTAGCAAAGGAAGAATTCCATCCAAGTTCCATAGTTACAATGCTCTGAAAAATATTCAATGACAAGCTAAAATATGTCCAAGAGTTGAGTCATTTTCTTGCTCTTCCTTGTTGCCATGAAGGGAGTGTTGTAACCCATCAGAGCACCAATACAACTTTTTCATTAAGTCAGCACAGACTATATCTGTGACCTTCAATTTCTGAACTAATTATGTCATGTCACTGAGGAAGCAAAGTGTCACCGCTTAGGGGCTCAAAGAAAGAGTATGCATGGGTGGGTATATTAATCATCCCATCCCCTCTTCTGTATTAAGGTTGCAGCCTTTTGTAAGTTTCTGTCAAGTGTAGTAGAAGCAGCAGGGCCAGTCATAGGCTTCCAAGTATGTTCAATGTCCCATTTTTTCCCCTTGTGTTTTTTATTACATGCTTTTCCTGGAATATTCTTCTACTTCCAGATGCTCTTCGCCCAAAGATTAAAGTTATTAGATGCCCACTTTTCAGGTGAAACCATATCAACTTGGAGGAACCTGTGAGAAACTTCCACATGCAAAAAAATTTTGCTGAACAAATAAATAGGGATTGGAAATAATGCAATGGCCATCCAAATTCCAACACTGCATAGCAAACCAGCACCAACGTTTTTCGTTAACTAAAAAGGGGGAATGAAACCTGAAGCACTTGAGCAGCGTATCTCTGGGCTGCTGCATCTTGCTCAGCAAATATGCGAGCATCTTCTGTTACTCTCTGCTCTTGCTCTACCCTCATAAGAACCTATAGATTAAGAAGAAATGCAGGACCACAACAAACTCATCAACAATAAGAATGATCAGCTCTTGAGGTATATTATCACTGAACATGAAGCAACAATGGAACCTTAAGCATGGCATTTTCTTGTTCCTGCTTATCAGCAAGGGCCTGCCGAAGCTCAGCAACCTCTTGCTCCAATTGCTCAACCTAAAAATCAAGAACACATAGTCATTATGCAATAAATTTGATAAAATATTAGCAAATAGGAAGATGAGTATGAACTTTGCCACTAAGCGATCTGGCTTGTGGTTATCAACAGTATAATTGTTTTAAGCAGCACATATGGATGAGAACAGACATGGTAAAGTGCACACCACTCAGAAGATTATTTTCTTTTATGGAAAATAAACAAGAAACACAAAAAACAAAGAAGAAACAAAAAAATACAGTGAATAAAAATAATTGATCCTTATGAAGCATCACTATACACAAGGTGCAAGACAAAGTCACTATGCTGAGTTTGTTATCTCTTCAGAAAGTCACCGAGTCAATAAAATCCGCATGAAGTTTTTAGAATATTAAGTAAATTCAAGAAATATTGGAAGCAATTTAGCAACAAATTTCACTGTTTTAGTGGCTAAAAATAAATATTAGTGTGGATAGTGGATAGTGGATATAACATATTAACATCAATCGAAAAAATTCACCTAAAGAATTTATTGCTGAATTCGCAGCAACAAGAAATTATATTTCACATATATAAGCTTTAGAACCCAAAAATGACAATTTAACACCACATGAGCCCTCAAAAATCTCCCTCTCAGGACCATAGATAGTCAAAGAAGAAGGCTTAAAAGGATAACACCAGTTACATTAGCAAACAAACAATTACTGTGAATGTCTTACACATATAGACATACATACCTACATAACTATGCATAACAGATTCCGGCTCAAACATGCTATCCATTCCATGGCTACAGCTTTTATGAACTCATCAATCAATAAAGTTTTTCACAAACAACAATGACGCTAAACTGCATTCATGTAAGTAGCACGTTTACATTTCTATTGCAGCCCCATATGGATGGTAGAGAGAGGAGGAGAGGTAGATTCTGTTTCTACAAAGAGAGGTTGTATCCCATATTGAAGCTTAGGCACACCCAAGATTGGTGCCTTGAGAAGCCACTCCACCCATTACCAACTGGTTCCGGGTTGGATGCTCTAACCTGTTATCAGAGTTAGGCCTTAGGTAGTTGGTGGGTCAAATATCTCACCCATCGGAATTCCCCACTTGTTTGATATGTTTCATTATGGAACAAGACTGTCATGTGTCTTGATTCTTGACACACTGCTTTCAAAACAGAGACATAATAAACACACTTACAAAATAGGTATACAAGAGGGGAATTAAAGTAGAATATATCTTCCTGACTGGGTCACATGTACCACAAGTTCTTATGCACAGATATATAGAGAGCGAGAGTTGTATATAAAACCATCAAGACACACCAATACTTTTTTTCTCGGCTACAACGCACTTAAGTAAACAACAGGTACATGTTGGATGGCAAAGACAATATCTGGGTCTCTGATCACAAGATATACCAAAACAACAAAAATATAACGCCATGCATAAGGCCGCTTCTCCCATACCCTTGCACTCAATTGTCGTCGGTTATCCTGCTTCACCATTTCCATCAATGCTGTTTCCAACTCCTCAGCTCTGGAAATAGAAAGAAACCCCGTTACTAGAGTTGTAGTGATAAAATAAGGTACAATTCTGATTACAAGCATGACCTAAATTAGTCCACACAGCAGAGATAAATCTGGAAAAGTTTCCATTTTAATCATGGTATGCTCTAGCACTTCACTCCTTGTATGGTTCAAATATAGATGGATAACCGTTCTGGTTTGTGGACTAATGTGCATAATTACAAATTTTGACTATAGGAAAAAAAATCTTACAATAAAAATGGATGTCCGATGTCCTATAAGATGAGAGAAAAGATCAGCAAAGTTGTCTAGGTGCAATGCAAAACAATAAAAAGCACTGCTACATTTTTCCATATCACACTCGCCCAACTGCAGATGTGGCTTGAAAAATCATTCCTTCCTACACTAAACATGATCAAAAGACAGAAAAATGCCTCTACAATAAACATACACCAAGACTCCACCCCAGAACCAACCCCGACCCACCACTGTTGTTCTTCTCCTCCCTCTCTCGTGCTCATGCACTTGACCAACCACTTAGGGAACTATAGGTTCCAAGGAGGGGACTGTAGGTTCTAATGGGGAGACTGTGAGAGGAAGGGGCAATCTGGGTTCTTGGCATTGGTAACATCAAAAAAGAATAAGAAGAAGAACCCATTCACCAAAGCTATTGAATAAGGAGTAGAAAAAAAAAGTAGAACTAGTTCACCGATGCAATTAAAGAACATGAACCATTTCAGCAAACAAGTTCTGCATGGAACCACGACGATGAAGATAAAGAAAAATTATAGGGTTTTGCCACGCAAGGATCAAAATTTCGTTTTGGTGCATAGTTGTGCTTAGTTTGGAATAAAAATGTTTCAAAGACATTTCAATGCTATTCTGGAAACAAAAGGTTATTGAGAAAAAACTAAAATTCCAATTTCAAATCATTCTGAAACATCGACCCAACAATTTTAAAACATATAAATTTCGATTTACCTTATTTTTATAAGAAAAGACATTTTTGCTAATAATAAAAGGAGAGTGTTACAAAACCAATCATAGGTGGACAAGTACTCATACCCAAAATTGAATGCCCTCAAAGGACAAGAAAAGAACACAAAACACTAGGGCATTAAACACAAAAAACAATATGCATGAGGCTGTCCAACTTATAGTAATACTAAAACGAGGAATATTCTCAAGCTATTTAGTCACAAATGCCCAAAATGAAGCCAAGAAGTGTAGCCGGTCCCATATTCAGCTTCTTACCTATTATGTTCAAAAATCATCGCATTCCACTCCCTCCATATCACCCAAATGAGAGCAAAAAAAACACATTACCAAAGGGTCTTACCTCTTCTACTTCCTCCCAAACCCCTAAAATCTACACTAAGCATATATTTCATTAATCTCCCAAGCAATGCCAACATACTCAAACAATTTATTCCATAGTGAAAGTGTCAAGAGGCAAAGCAACAATTCAAGGGTCTCATTCTTTGAAGCACATCATTGGTATAATCTTACCACGAGTAATTATCTATGGACAAACTTGCACTTTTAAAGGAACTTTGGCCCTCCAAATCTTCCAAGACGGATAAAATAATGGAAATGAAGAATAATCAATTAAAGACTCCAAGTAAGATTTGCAAGGGAAAATACCGAAACAATCACCATTCCAAACTCTCTTACCCAAAGAATTTGGAGACAATGAGACATCATTGAGTAGGGAAAGAAGTCCTAAAAACTCAATTTACTCTCTATCATTGAGGTTCCTACGAAATCCAAAACACCAAGAAAAAAAAATTAGATTTTCCTCACTGATTTGTTTTGGTGAAAACGAAATGAAATTCTAATCCTTGTCAGAGTTGAGAGCTAGAAGTGGATTTGCCAGAGTTAGGGGACTAATTTGTTATTTTAAAGTACATATGAAGGTCTTTTTTCCCAATACCGTTGACAAAGATGAACACACACTTTGATCCACAAACAACATGAGCATATTATGTGGCCACATTTGAACCATAAAAGGGTCAAGTGCTAAAGGAGTATACCATGGGGGAGTAAAATGGAATTCGCCCTACATATTTTGTGAGAGCACATAAATCATCTCTTTACCACAACGAGGAAATTTATGTGTTCAAAAATGGCTTTCAACTAGCAAAAACAAGCATCATTAGATTGGAATTGTTCTAGCTAACAGGCTACACTCACTTCATAATATTTCAGTCTTATTTGCATATCTTGCTATAAAAGAACGGAGAACCGTATAACATCATTCTTTTAGGTGTCATCATATCAATTCATGTTTCCAAAAATTATCTTAAATGAGCCCCTTATCTTATTACACCACATAGAGACTGCTTTCCTCGGAGGCCTCCGGTCATCAAGCTTCCTCTTCCCAGTGATGAAGCGCCCACCGAAGAGCACGCCAGAGCTACTAGCGAAGACCCAAAAGTATATGAATGCTAAAGACATCACAAAGGCCAGACAAGGCGAGTCCTCCCGAACAGGTGAGAAGAGAAAGGAAAGAGACTGGGACGACACACTACATACATTTCCACAAGCTATCATCACCTCTCAATATATGAGCTCTTTATTCACCGAAGAAATGCCTTTTATTCATTGGATACCAAGTTTCACGGCCAAGGAATTCTCTAGTCAAAGGTTCTAGACTCCATGCTTATCAGCGATAGCAAACCCTGGAAGGCCGCAACAAAGTATAGCTGCTCCCCATATCTTCTATAACTTCTTATCAAGCAAGGAAATTTCACAGATAAAAAAATGTTGCATGCCCCAAAATTACAATATCCACATTTCAAGGTCCGTTTCCCTGCCAAAAAGACTTGTCTCTGCCATTCACTACGTGAGAAGTCAATTTGAGGTTCTTCAATCTAATGAAATCACTTTGGCGGCAAGGATAGGACGAGGAAGGGAGATAATATAAATGGTGGTTGCTGAAAACGAACTCATAATGACAGCATCCTGAGAGAAGAGACAAGAGGGGCAAAAGACAAAAATGCAGCTGGTTTCCTCAAAGCAAATCTTTTTCAACTCTAGTACTCTACAACGATCACTTATAAATGGGAATATTAAGTGTTTTGCTCACAAGCTGCCCCTAATGAAATTTTTTTAACAGAATAAGGGAAGCAAAGAAATAAGTATATAATATACAAACTTCACCAGGATCTTCAGTACACGGGATTTCAAAGATGTCCTCTACTTGAATTCTAACATAGTGCCTCACAAGGTTCCTAAGAGAGAATTTTCTTTTCTCTCTTAAAGTATCTATCAATAAAAAACCCTCCCCCTTTCTCTGCAGCAAACATATAAATATACAGACAAAACTACAAGTTTTTATTATCATTCATCAAAAAGGTTGCATATAGCCTAATACTACTAGCTGACATATGAACTAATTTGAGCCTAAATTGTACTTACACATATTGAGTCATTGCAGATCAAGTAGAGAAGGATTATTCACAAAACAATCTCTTAGATTCATTACTAAAATACAGGTACTTTATTTCATACACCAATTAGAATATATTCTATGTGTATTTCTAATGCATAAGCCCATTAGCCCAACAAATGCCCAAATAAGATCAGTGGGAAAAACATCCAGTACTGAGTGGTTTCAACCCATATTCAGAATCTGAAATCGGCCCTTTATCTTTATTATATTAACCTGAGTACAGAAGATCTTTTTTCCTCGAGCAATTTGCACAATTCAACCTTCAGCCACACAACCTGCATGAAGTTTATACATTAAAATTTTAAAAAAAATAAAAAGGCATGTAAGATAAGTTGGTACAGATCGTAATTCAATGAACAGAAAAATATTTGTAATTGGCTTGATTTTGAAGCAGGGTTCCGGCTCTCATGGGATCACAATAGTTTAGTTTTAACTGAGTCGTATTTCAAGTTTTCATTTGTTATATTCCATGTTGTGTGAAGTTGTACAAGTTATTCTGTGCTCTAGGTGTCAAAAATATTAGGTGTAAATAACAACCCGAGTTTTGGCAACACAACAAGAAAACCTCCTTATACATGTTAGGAAACTGATACCCCATGAGTTTTGTGTTTTGCTTCATGATGACAGCAGAAAAAATAGAAGTTTTAAACTCCACATCTGCATTTGTTACATTTTTCCAATTTCGCAACAGAGTTTGAATAAGGGTAAAAATGGTTATTTCATTAATGACTTCTACTTAAAAATTCTGAAAGAGAACCTCCATGTTTTCTCATATGTCAGTGTTCCCCAGGTCTATTTGCCAAAACTCAGGAAGTGGCGAAGCAATTTATCCATAGGATTTTGATACTCAGCAAGCTTGATGGACACAGCCTGTAATGATGAGTTTGTTTGTTGCGTTTCTGAATCATGTAGGTATCGTGAGTCAAAGTCTCCAAGTATATAGAGTCCAGGTCTTATTCAAATTCCAATTACTATATGTACCACTGTAATTCGTTGAAATCAATTCGAAAGAGTTCTGGACAAAACTATCTGATCTTTGCATATTGTATAATGTAATGCTCCCCCCTCCCTCCCTCCCTCCCTCCCTCTCTCTCTCTCTCTCATTCTAAATTTTACTCACTAAAGTTTCTCAAATTTAATAATTATAAGCCCATGGTTGCATTAATTCATCCTTATAAAACCCCCCTATCCCCACAATCCTAATCTTTTGGTTACACTAGGAGTCTAGTAGGATAGGCTAGTCAGAAATTTCAACATTCACCTGCACTTGTGGTTTATCTTTTTTGGGGAACCAGCCCATCCCCTTTCATCTACACACACATGATCATAATGCCTTTCATGTATAAAAATTCAAGGAAAAAATAGCCACTGGTTTCTTCATGAGAATTGTTCAACAATTCAGTGTCCAAAAAACTTCACAAACATCATCTTTCTTTGACTAATTAAACCCTAAAAATACCACTTTTTTTTTCATTTTCTTTTGGGATAAGCAATATCCATGAACTCATTCCATCAACTTAACTTGAACCCTCCACCTCCCTCCTTGATGGTGACAAGAGATACCATTCAAGCCAACAGCAAGTGGCGAGGTACATCCATTTTTGTAACATATTCCTTCACCATCAATATTGTACCAAGAAGCATAGCAATCTTTGTATCTGGCAAAACCAAGTTCATGAAGTGCAATCATCACTAAACTTGGTTCTCATGCACAATGCCAGGTGCAATTGCTTTCCTTTAAGGGAAAAACCACTGTTGTGTTATTTTCAGCGTGGCCCTTGTGGTTCTTCATAATAACCCAGTTTTGAGTCAAATCAAGGCCATTTCAAAATTTGACTTTGATATTCTCATTGCCCAATTATTACTCTCCATAATTGACGTAGACAAGGTAATATTAAGTTCATCAAACTCTAACAACGTATAATGCCAATGCAGCAATCATAATCAGTATAGTTCTTGGAAAATGACAATCCATTTGGTACAAGAGTATCAATTGTAAATCCTATTTGAAAGAGGTTAGACGAAGAAAACTGAAACAGAAAAAAAAANTTTTCCAATTTCGCAACAGAGTTTGAATAAGGGTAAAAATGGTTATTTCATTAATGACTTCTACTTAAAAATTCTGAAAGAGAACCTCCATGTTTTCTCATATGTCAGTGTTCCCCAGGTCTATTTGCCAAAACTCAGGAAGTGGCGAAGCAATTTATCCATAGGATTTTGATACTCAGCAAGCTTGATGGACACAGCCTGTAATGATGAGTTTGTTTGTTGCGTTTCTGAATCATGTAGGTATCGTGAGTCAAAGTCTCCAAGTATATAGAGTCCAGGTCTTATTCAAATTCCAATTACTATATGTACCACTGTAATTCGTTGAAATCAATTCGAAAGAGTTCTGGACAAAACTATCTGATCTTTGCATATTGTATAATGTAATGCTCCCCCCTCCCTCCCTCCCTCCCTCCCTCTCTCTCTCTCTCTCATTCTAAATTTTACTCACTAAAGTTTCTCAAATTTAATAATTATAAGCCCATGGTTGCATTAATTCATCCTTATAAAACCCCCCTATCCCCACAATCCTAATCTTTTGGTTACACTAGGAGTCTAGTAGGATAGGCTAGTCAGAAATTTCAACATTCACCTGCACTTGTGGTTTATCTTTTTTGGGGAACCAGCCCATCCCCTTTCATCTACACACACATGATCATAATGCCTTTCATGTATAAAAATTCAAGGAAAAAATAGCCACTGGTTTCTTCATGAGAATTGTTCAACAATTCAGTGTCCAAAAAACTTCACAAACATCATCTTTCTTTGACTAATTAAACCCTAAAAATACCACTTTTTTTTTCATTTTCTTTTGGGATAAGCAATATCCATGAACTCATTCCATCAACTTAACTTGAACCCTCCACCTCCCTCCTTGATGGTGACAAGAGATACCATTCAAGCCAACAGCAAGTGGCGAGGTACATCCATTTTTGTAACATATTCCTTCACCATCAATATTGTACCAAGAAGCATAGCAATCTTTGTATCTGGCAAAACCAAGTTCATGAAGTGCAATCATCACTAAACTTGGTTCTCATGCACAATGCCAGGTGCAATTGCTTTCCTTTAAGGGAAAAACCACTGTTGTGTTATTTTCAGCGTGGCCCTTGTGGTTCTTCATAATAACCCAGTTTTGAGTCAAATCAAGGCCATTTCAAAATTTGACTTTGATATTCTCATTGCCCAATTATTACTCTCCATAATTGACGTAGACAAGGTAATATTAAGTTCATCAAACTCTAACAACGTATAATGCCAATGCAGCAATCATAATCAGTATAGTTCTTGGAAAATGACAATCCATTTGGTACAAGAGTATCAATTGTAAATCCTATTTGAAAGAGGTTAGACGAAGAAAACTGAAACAGAAAAAAAAAAGGGGGGGGGTGTAACTGAATACTCAATACTTGTTTTTTTCATGTTACAGCAGCAAAAAAGCAAAATTGTGGTCATGCACGCGAACAGGGGCTTAAGAGATAGCAAGTGCAATATAAATAGACAGGAAAAGAAAAAATAACAAGATACCTGTTCTTGAAGATCAGGAACAGAGTCTATCTCCACATTCCCATTCAGGTTCATAAAGAATCCATCCCCATTAGCGGACCCAGAATCCATGTGAGCTACATCACCATTAGATTTTGAATCAATAACAGTTTGATCTGGTTTGTTTGTTCCTCTCAATAAGGATTCTGGATCATACTTAAAACTATAAAGTTTAGAAGCCAGACCCTGGGAGTCCCTCAGAACCCGTAGTCCCTTTGATCTCTCCTCAACTGCATCTCTTACAGCTGGTCGATGTTTATTTCTCAACTCTACTAAACTGGCCTCAGTTACATTTTGGTAACCCATACAAGCTGTCAAGACAAGTTGACTGCTATCAAATGTTGAGCCAGCCAGTGACTGTAGTAGAGTAACTGCATCCCCAGCATCTTTGGTTGTAACCAATGCAGGTCCTACACAAAACTGAACTAACTTAAGTTTCATGCCAAAAAATATCCAACATAGACAAAATTCATGTCCATAGGCCCTTCTCTAAATACATCACAATTAATGTAACTAAGCATCTTTTACCCAGTACCATATAATTCCATTAAAGCAAGTGCTGTTCGAAATAGCATGATTCTGTTTCCTTCAAAAAGAAGCACATCCCAGACTCTAAGAACTGGAGCCAAGAGAAACCCATCAGACTACAACCAAAGTTAGGACTGAAAAATTACAAATTATGAAACTAAGAACACGAAAATTATTGGGGTGGTAAAGTAGAAGCAATACATGCAGACTAATTTTGATAATTGTCAACAAAAAACCAGATTTAAATTTTGCAGGAACTATACTTCAATTTTGCATGATGAAACATAGAACCTGACCACTTTCCCATGGAAGCATATTCATAAATATCGAAAGGAACCACGGTCCAGTAACCCATGCCACCTGCACTCCCAGGTAATCCAGATGATTAACTGCAAAAGATATGTTGGGTCAATAAGAAACCACAAGTCCTCTTTATATGCAGGAAACATTGGGGAAGGCAGTAATTATAACAAATGCTAATAATAAACAAACCCAATTTAGGAAACCTCTCGCGCACCAACTCCTCAAAAACTAGTTGGTCAACCTGACAAAACATAACTTAACAGAATAAATTTTAAACATTTTGTGCCACCTCTATTTATCTATTCATTTGTGTAGCTTATGGAACTGCTTGTTTACATCAAATTCAAGGATAGGAAACCCTAATTTCAAAAATCAAATTAGTGAATCAACAAGGCATAAAAATTATTACCTGAGACTCAATCATTTCCTCTGAATAATAGCCATCAAAATAGTCATCAAGAATGCCCATTAAAGCCCTGAGAATTTCACCTTAATGTTAGTATCTATATACTCTAGTAAGCTATTACAAGAGGATATAAAATGCTAAACATATGCACAAATTGACAAGATTGTATCATGTATTCTTCCGGGAAGAGTAAACCTAAGAAACACAGATACTTCATTTTGGTCAGAGTGTCGGTGTCAGACATGCTTCGGACACATGTTAGACACATTAAAATGAGTGTTTGAATTTTTTATTGTTAAATTTATTTAGGATACGTTTTGGACACGTTGGGGACATGCAACCGAAACAATCAAGACACGTTTTGAGATTTTTTTTCCCAAATTTTTGACAACTTTTCAATTGACTTTAATAATTAAGGAAGTTATTTTTGTAGTTTTAAAGAAATAAAAGTCAAAGTTATAATACAAAGAGTTATATTCGCTACATGAACATAGGACATGGATATAGCATAATTTCAAACACAAATATGAACTTATATGGAATAAACTTTTAATATGAAAGTAACGTGATGAAAAATAGGATTACAAAATTGGGGCTCTTTGAAATTGATGAAAAATGTGTTATGAAATGGAATATTTTTTAAAATGGAATTTGTAGTATTCATTGATTTCTGAATCATGAATGTTAATGATGAATGTGCATTGTTATATCTTATATTGTATTTTTTATGCAGTGATATAATGATTTGAATTTTTAAAATTAGGAAAATGATGAATTGAAAGATTATTATGAAAGTAATATATATATATATATATATATATTTAACATATCTCCATCATGCCTGTTTCCTTCTTTTTTGAAAAATGTCATGTCAGCATTTCCGTGTCGTGTCGTGTCCGTGTCCGTGCTCATGCTTCTTACGAGTAAACTATGCAGTATACAAATCATGGTTCATTTACAAACAAACGCTCGTAAAACTTTTCTTCAACAAATAGCCGAATGTGTATCCATTTGAAAATCTCAACCAAGTTTAAACTCACCAAAAGGCATTCTCCTCGGGCATCAGAAGCAGTAATAAGCCAGCAAAGAAATTCATGGCCTGCATGTATATAGGGTCCAACAAGGCAGAAACATATAGAGTATCAGTAGGGCAGAAGTAAAATCAGTTTCAATTAACAGGAATAAAACAGTACAACAATTAAAAGTATTTTCTACTATTTCAGTTTTCAAATTATAAAGAAAAAAAGGGAAGAACAAAAAAAAAATTTCAAGCACAGAGCTGTGATACAAATCTCTAGCTGCAGTGTAGAAGATAATTTGCAAAACAAGATGCACACATCCCACAGTATAACCTCTGTCATCTTCAAAGGGTGCTAAAAATCAAACTTTACTCTAAAACATTGTTCAGAACTGACATAGAAGCTATTATGTGTTATTTTTTATGATAAGTTACAGTCACATCCCTTGTAGAATGTCCTGAGTACAGGGATACCCCATCTATTTTCTAAAAGTACACTAACAATACTGTCAATTTTGGTTGGGTAAAAGAGATAACTAAATTTTCAATTTTCCAGTTTTACCCTTGTTTCTTGTGTAAAATTACTTGGCTAAAATCATAAGCAAATAAATAAAAACAAAAACAAAATTCAGAAACAATATCTTTTATTTGTTAAATCATCTAGTCAAAATGACAAGAAAGTTAGTTTTATTTGTTTTGTCAGTAGTTATCTTATTTATTTTTTTACTTTATCACGTTGTTGAATTATAGACACGATTCTTTTATATTGATTTTAAGATTTTATTTTTGTTTTTCGCTTTTTTCCTAATTGACTTAAGGTGGAGATAGTTTTGCATACCATTTTAGCTTTTATTCTTTTAATTTATAACTTATTGGAAATGAGCTAAATGACATTAGAGAAGAATCTTTCATTACATTATTACTTATATTCTTGTCAATAAGAACACATGATGGCAATGGTGGTGACTGAAATGAGGATAGGAAGTAGAGAGGCTACAGAGATTCCTAAATACAGGGATGTAATTCACAGTATTTTTGTTACATATAATTAACTAATTAAGTCAGGTCTCATTATATTGCATCTACTAAAAAAATAGGTAAAACAAAAAATGAGTCTCATAATTGTCACCCTCTCTCATTCTCAGGGATTTTTTTCTCTACTTCCATAAAATTAAAAGCTAAGCTAGGACTCATCACATTGCAGCAAATAACAAATTAGGTAAAACAATAAAGAAGTCTATCAATAGTGACCCTCTCATTCTGCATGATTTTTTGCCCTGTCTCAAAGATATTTCTAGAATGTGCCCCTTTCAGGCAATAACATTACATAAGAGATAGAATTGTGACGGGTGTGTATAAGGGTGTCCAATGAGTATACAATTGTGTAGTTGCAACACATTTGAAAAGGGCATGTGCCCATAAACATATGAAAGAAGTCTAAAAGTTCAGTACATGATCTACCACAATTGTGATGACATACAGTATACAGCCGGAATAATTTTTGGTGGTAAGGTTCTAGAGATTCTGTGTCACAGATAGGAACCTTAACTTAGTTAGATATGCAAGTTAATCATCAAATAAATTAGTTCATCTTGGAATTATTTTTATTTTATCTTGCAGTGAATATAACTTGGAAGTGAACAGTGGGAAGTGGGAACCCATTCATAATTTTGAAATTTGCCACTACATGCACCACTTGCGAAGACTTATAGCTTAGTCCACAAACAACACCCCAGACAGTAAGGATTTAAAGTCTAAATGTTGATGTTCATTTAATAACACAAAGTGTGCGGCATAGTTTGCTAGATTTGATGATACAGATTGTACTTTGATGATTACAATGTTAGAGAAAATTGAAGTGCCAAGGACTTCATTAAATGTTTGAATATCTTATCCAGCATCTCTGGCCACAGCATCACTGGCTTACATCGAAGTTTGAAAAACTCAGCACATAAAATGTAGCAACTCTAAGTACCTGGCAGTAGCCAACAGAGGGGTTATGCCGAGCATATGCTGTAAGTAAACGCCTCAAAGCGTTTCTACCATCCTCGTCCAGAGCAGGATGACCCGGAAAAGTTCGAGGTAAATCCTGCATAGAAAATAATAATACTGGATTGGAAATGGCATAAACCTAATGCTAGCACATAAGGATCCAAAGCTGGTGAATGTGATAACCTTCTCAATCTGCCCTTTCCACTTCTCAGGGACACATAAAAAGTCTGTCGTTGGTCCGTTGATGATGTCAGATTCTGAACTTTTATGTTCCGCACCATCACCTGGTTTTGAGTCTGGAGCTAGCAAATCTTGATAATATTTCTCCACCCGTCGTGCCCTCACCCCCACAAAAGCTTGCCAAAGCTGTAATCGCAAGTGTAATGCATATGAAGCTTATTGATAGTTAAATGAGTTTAATGTGCAAATGAGAACCCAATAGTTTGCAATCTACCTCTCCCCTGAGAGCCATTGGAACTCCCCCTTGAACAAGACACTCCAATTCTTCATTCCAAGGAAATAAAGATTCTGAATAAGCCATGTCAACTGTAGCACCTGTTAAAGGGACAGTCACACTTTCATTCGAATGTACATCTTGAGTAGGATCTGATCTTTCCACATCATAAAACTCTTCCTCAGAGTCCTCTTCAGATGCTCCTTTTGCAGGTCTACCCTCTTCAATAGAAGAAAGTGGCTTTCCAACCCCAGCGTCTTGCTCATTTCTCATTCCATTGATCTTCTTCACTACACGGAGACTCATCATTTCCTCAATGGCATGAAGTGATGGTCTAATCTCACTCCATATTTGGGCCCTATGAGTTTTTGCCTCCATTGGTTCATCTTCCTTTTGTGTAACATTTTCAGTCAAACCATCAAAACCCTTCTTGTCATTTAAATAATCTCCTGTGACACCATTCTCTAAGCTAAAATCAGCATCCTGCAAGGTAGTCTCAGCATGCAATATTGTGCTATCTTCCTTGGTGGATAACCCATTTACAGCCAGTTGGGCAGACTCCGCCTGTCGATCCAAGAAATCCTTCCATCTATCTGATCTTTCCTCCTCTTCCTCCTATAAGCATGGGTATATCAACAAAAAGCGTAGGGGGTAGGGGGTAAGGGGTAGAGAGAGAGAGAGAGAATTTCCTGAAATTGGAATTGCTTGTTCACTTCAACTACATTTGATTGCTGAGAAAACATGGTAGAGAAAAACTATGAAAACTGTTGAATATTGATTTACTAGAAATTACCCCGTGTACACTATACAATACCAAAAATCGAACCCCTGATTTGCAATAGTTATATTTTAAGTAGTAATTTAGTTTTTTTAATTACTTAATTTAAAATTAAAATGAAGAGAGAGGTAGGTGTAGATTGATGGAATTGTTTGATATTGAGTGTGTTGATTGAATTATCTAGCATTGGAGCCGTGAGGAGAAGTTGATGTTTTGGGCGGGAAAAAAAATTTGGGCTAAATTTTGTAACATTGGATCAAAGTAGATGAAGATTGAATTAATCTTGATCGATGTTGTGTTTTTAAAAGTTGAGAATTCAACTTCCTAACTGTAATCTTAGATAGATTCATTGTCGACAATTTAAGCAAACAAATAATTTCCACTCAACTTTGAGTGATACCAGTGTTGGGATTATGTGAATTGAACTTTTCATAGTCAATAAGTAAAACTATAGGTCATTCAAGAAACAAAAGTTTCAATATTTTCCTTAAAGAGTTTCTTAGGAACCAAACAGAAATAAGTTTTAATAACAGAACGGCAGAACCCAAAAAAAGCCGAAAACACAAACCTTGTAGATATTGGCATATTCACGATATCTTTGTAAGTGCTGAGGTCTCACAGCAAACCCATAGGCATCCCTGTTCAAAAAAATGTCTGTAAATTACCAAAACCACCAAATCTTCCAATTCAACACACTCCACCAAGTAAATTCACAAGCAAGTTCATGATCATCTAACAAATCAAAAAATTTCAAAACTAAGTCGAATCACAAACACAGTCTAGTAATGCAAATAGCCAATAACCATAAAGCAAATCCATACCGAAAACAAAATGTAACCCAGTTTACCTGTAATATAGTTCAAAGATAGTTTTAATTCCACTGTCCATAGTGGCCGGCATCGCCTCAGTGGTCAGTGCATACACAATTTTAGGGGTGCAACTTGGGTTGGGCAACCCGATTTCAACTCGAGCCCAACCCGAAAAAATTAGGGTTTGGGCAAGGGTTTTTAATACTTGGGTTAGGTTTGGGTCAAAAAACTCCAACCCAAGGGTTGGGCTCGGGTTAAAGTCTCGTGAACCCGAATTCAACCCGAACCCGACAAATTAAAAAAAAAATTATATATATATATATAAAGTATTAGCACTGGTTTTTCATTTTTATTTTATCGTTCTCTGTCTCTCTTGTTTTCTTTGCCTCTCTCGTTTTCTCAGCCTTTCTCGTTAAAAACTTTGTTGAAGTTATTGGTTGTTAATTTAGGTGAATATTATGTAATATATGTATTAGATTTAGAACAACAAGCTTATTTTGTACTCTACCCGAATTGAACCCGTAAAGTAATTCGAAATCGGCCCAAATTCAACCCGAGCCCGCCCGAATTAAACTCGGGCAGTGCTCAGGTTGAGTTCCCCAACCAGAGGTAGGGTTAGGGTTAGGGTTAGAGTTAGGGTTGAAAATTATATACCTAGGATTGGGTTAGGTTGATTGTCCACCCCGCCAACCCGCCCGAGTTGCACCCCTACACAATTTACTTCTAGTTACTCCACATTCCACCACTCACACAGATTTAAACCCCTAAACAAATCTTAACAAAAGAAGTGCAATCCAAAGCAAGATCACAAATAACTATCAACTGAAGCCACTACTCTTTCATTAAAGCTTTAAAAATCAATTCCTTCTTTCAACACAAAATGAAGTTTACCAAGAAAATCAAGCAATTGCAGTAATCAACAAAATGCTGAATTGGCGACTATAGAATATATATATATGTATCGATGTGATCCAAGTATATTATAGTGACATCATAAGATATACAAAGATAAATGTAAGAAGCTAGCAAGTGAATTGATTCAAGATTGACAGATCAAAGAAAGAGAAACGGAAAGAAAAACCCTAAAAGAATCAATGAGGGTAGTGTCGGTGGAATGAGAATTGTGATCGGGAGGGACGCGTGGAGAGATGAGAAGTGAGGTAGCATAGAGAGAATGGTGGTTACCTCTTGTGCTCCAAAACTATGAGAGAAGGATTCAAGACGGCAGCTTTGGCCTTCATGCTCGGAGAGGATCAGTTTCAATTACAAGATCTTGCTGGATTTTTCCCTTGATTTTCTGCAACCGAATTGCCTGTAACCACTGTGTGTGTGTGAGAGAGAGAGAATTAATCCGTGGCTTTCTTGGTTTGGTACAGTCACTCACTCTCTAGTGGCGACTACTCGATGCTTGGTGCGGTGAGAGAGAGAGAGAGAGAGGTGGGGAGGCACGTCACGTGGAATGGGCGAGTTTGCCGTTACACACTGCTGTTACATGTGCTGATTTCTTAACACGGAATTCGAGTGAGATAGAAAAAGAGGAAGGTCATGTAGGGGCAATTCAAATACGAAATAAAAATACGATTCCAAATTGATATAAAATTAATTGATTAAGATCAATCATTTTTTAACACGAATTTATAATTAATACGATTAACATATTTAATTAATCTTATAAAAATAAAATGTTAACAATTATGTGTTATTTTTGATTAAGCATTGACATAATTATTATATAAAAAATATATATTTATTTATTATTATTATTTTATTTATTAAGTTAATTTTTAATTTATAGAAAAAATATGAGGGTCAACACGAACACGAACCCCGACATGAAAATAAATATATCAATCGACATGATTGAATTAGTTAAATAGATTAGGTTAAGATTGACTAATACTAGATACAAATACACAACGACATGACAGGATACGATTGTCATCCCTAATATCATGTCCCTCACAGATAATTATAGGGGGCGTGTGTGTGGATGGTGAAGCGAGTGGGGATCGGATTGTATTTTTTGAATTCCTTCAAATTTTACTTGTATACCTATCTAAATAAGTTGAATTCTCAACTTATAAAAATATATGACCAATTTTTTTTTTTTATAAAAATACAATAATATTTAAGATTAATCTAATTTTTTTATATTTTAATCCAATAATACAAAATTCATTTTAAAAAAAATTCACTCAAAAACATAATCTCTCTGCATGGCTCAATGTCAAACAAATCAATCAGCACATTCCTTAATACCAAACAACTTCACTAATTCACACCAATCTTTCTCTTTTCTTTTCCCAGTATTTCTCTTATTTTCTCTATGTTTATTTTAATTTTAAAATACATAATTAAAAAATAATATTTAATTTTTTATTTTATAAAATATCTTCGGACACAAAATGATTACTATTATGTAACTCAATATATATTCATTTTTGTTGTAGTAATGCCTTTTTACCAACATATTTGAAAAAATTCTCTAATTGTACAAGGATTCATAGAATTTTATTCATCCATTTCGAGTTAAAGTATTTGACATGCCAAAATCCGATTATTTGTGTTTTGCTTCAAACTAATTTGACCAATTTCATAATCTTGTTAATTAATCATGATAATTTTGAATTTATGTTAAAAATTAATCAACTTTAACATACTAATTTTGTGTCGATTTTATTTTATACGATGGAATCATGCCAAAAATTATCAGCTAGTGTGAGGGGCATGGCGGAGCTAGTGCGGGGCCAGACAGGGCATTGGCCCACCCTAATTTTTTTATTATTATTACTTATGTGCCATATTTTTTTAGGTTATGTTAGTGATGCCCACACATGATCTAGTGGTTTCCACCCATTGACATCTATGAGAATGAGCCTATTGTTTGTTTATTTACTTACGCTTTTTTGGTTAGCCCATTGTTTATATTTTTTATTTATATTATTATTACTAGACATAGCCCTTATTTTTTTTGTTTTTTTTTAAATATATCTTCTTTTTTTCTTGGAGAGAGGGGAAGGAGAAGGAAAAGGAAGAGAGGGATTTGAACCCTTGATCTCAAACAGGTAAAGTATTTATAAGATAAGGAATATCATTTGACCAAATGTCCATTGATATTAGATTGTTTTGTTTAAAAACTATTTCAAGTCTTCGTTTAGTTGTAACGGAAGAATCCACTTTTTGACATTTTGTCTCAAAAACTTTTTTTAAGTGTTAAATATAATATAATTAAATATTAAATGTATTGGATTGTGACAAAAAAAAAAGAATTAAAAGTTTGTTAAAGTATAGAGTGTGCACCCAAAAACTATTTTTTGGTTTCATTCCTAGTGAGAGGTAAGGATGTCAACCATGGTGGATTAAGTAAGTTTGTCTGAAAAAAACTATTTAACTCATTCACGAATTTTTTAATTAAACGGGTGAAAATTTATAAATCAAACACGATTTATTTATTAAATAGGTTATCCTACTAGACTCGTTTAATCCACTTTATATTTTTTTATTATTTTAATAAAAAATAATTATTAATTTTTTTTAACTAATATAATTATTAAATTGGATATATTATCGAATAATTATTAATTTATTAATTTTATTTAATCGGAGGATAAATAAGTTAGACACATATTATCCGTCATTCAAACACAATCTTTTTATTAAACGGGGTATTTCTGGTCCTCTTATTAAAACCTCACCCAAATTCACAGACGGAGTTAGTAAGGCGTCAGGCCCCACCATAATTTTTTATTTTAACCTTCATATGCTTTGTAATTTTTTTTTGGATTGTCTTCAATCGGACCCACACCAATTCTTTAATTTCATTCTCTAACTTTAACTCTAACTCTAATTCTAACTCTAACTCTAACTCTAACTCTAACAATCTTCTCAAATATATCATTTACTTAGATGTCTCTTTCTTCTATATCACTCTTTATCTCTCCTCTCTTTCGCTATCTCTCATACTTTATTTAAATTTTTGTCTCTCTTTATCTTATCTTTTTCATTCAACTTTTTATCTATTTTTTCACTTTCTTCTGTTTTTTTTATGTTTTTGCCACGTATTATTGAAAGATTGGGTCGATCGTTGCCTTAAAAAAAAGTCATCCATAATTGTTGTACACCCGAATGATTCATGGTGGTGATATTTTTTGCCCAGCTCAATTTTCAATATTTGTTAAATTCATCGATAATGCCCATGTAAACTCATTTTTCTCTCCAAATTAAGACACTTTATTTCTCTCTGTCTCTCTCACCATATATATAATCACTTTGGACCCTTTTATGTTTAGTGAATATTTAAATATAAATAGGATGTTAAATGGACAAATGTACTATACTATTTTTACCTATTATGGGACAAAATTAAAATTTATAATTAAAGTGTGTCTACCCTTGAGCAAATTATTGGCTCTACCCTAACGAAACTCGTTTAACTCTGTTTTGATTAATATTTTTTTTTTCTTATTTTCAATCCTATCAATCCCAAAAAAGTTATAAATGATCCCTAAAAATTGTAACATAACTTAAAAAATTGTACACTTTCGTGTTTTAAATAAACTCCAAAAATTATATCTCAACTCACAAAACTTGTGAAACTTAATGGTACGTTAAAAGTAGCAATCTCTGACACAAAACGAACACACGATTCAAAATTAGCATGTTAGGCTTGACTATTTTTTGATATAAATCTATAAATAACATGATCTATTAATACGAATAATAAATAAGTTTGGTCAATGTCAAAAATAAATAACACAAAATTAACATGATTAACACGTTTAAGTAAAATTATAAGAATAAAATGCCAAATTTTTTTTATTAGCAACAGAAGCTAAGTCGCCGCCTTGCTATTCGGTTAGACAGACCCCCTCTTGTCTTTCTCCACTTTCCTTTCCTAGTAGTCTAGCCGTATAAACTAGCTACTATAGCTTTATTACATCGGTGATCTCTTAATCAACTGTCTTAATAGTGGGACTAATACTTTCATTATGACTACTTGTTTTAGTCTTATCTATTTAAGAGCATCTTTAACAAATGTTTTAAATGAGTAAAATAGTTAAAATTTATCTATTTTAGAGCCAAAATTCATTTCCAACGGATATTGTTCATATTATGTAAAATATATTTTTGCTACAATAACACTCTATATTTAGAGTGTCACTGTAGCAATATGTAAACATTATACATATTATTTTCTCTCTCTTCCTCTCCTTTCTTCTATTCTCTCTCTTTCTCCCATTCACTATTCTCCAAAAAAAATAATACAAAAAAAATGAGAAATAATATTTAAAAGGAGTAGTTAAAAATATAGAAAATCTGTTAGAGTGTGTATTGAAAAAGTGAGTAATTAAAATAGAAAATGTTACTTTTTGAGTAGGTAAAATGCATTTTGTTGTTGGAGATGCTCTAAGAGTTGCCTTATTATTAATTTTTTTCTATAACATCGATATAATATATTTATTAAATTAATTTTATTTTTTCTAAAAAGTATAAGTGTGAGTTTAATTTAAAAATATATATATTAAACTTAAATCTCAATGTTTAATTTTTTATTGACAAGTTAGATAGGTCAACATGAACATAACATAAAAATAAAATGGGTTGAATTTGAGTTAATTAGTGTTCGACACGATTACCACTCTTACAATACGATTCCAATTTTTTTTTCTTCTAAGAGCATCTCCAATTATGACTCTAATTTAGACTTAAATTTAAATTTGAGTCTAAATGGTTTAAAAATTTTCTCCAACTTTGGACCAAAACTTATGCAAAATCAAAAAAAAACTTATTATGGGTCAAAATTGAGAATTACTCAAATTTTATACCAAACTTCAACAGTAATTTTTTACCCTATCCAATACTCAAAAGACTTCTTCAACGATTTGTTCTCTGCCTCTTCTTGCATTTCTCTTCTATGTTGCTTCCATTACCGATCACCACCGAAGCATTCACAAATCCTTGGAAGACGTATATTTAAACTTTTTCCTTTTCATCTTTCATATTCTTGATTTCTTGTATTTTTCAAAACTTTAATTTCACTCGTCTTTCATACTATATAAACCCTAAGCCTACCCATTAAAATTTTCTTTGATTTTTAAACACTGTCAGTAATGTAATTTCAAAATATCGATTATTACTGAAATTTTAAGTCTTCACTACCAACAAATTTAGAGAAATTGTCATTTTATTTTTTCAGTCTTTCATTTTTGTTAAAAACGATCCATTTTTTGTGTTCTTTAGATCAAACTTATGACAAAGTAACTACCTTATATTTTTTATATAATTTTTATCTGAATTTATAAAGAAGGTAATAGATTAGAATAATCTAAAAATTCTGAGATAGTTTTCTTTTACTTTTTTGTTTCTTTTTGTTCCCATGCGGTGTTGAGTTACTCAAAAATGTGGAGAGATATGAAAATTTTATTTATTTTATCAGATTTTACGATTTGAATGGCAAACAAATGAGTTTTGGGACAAAAAGATAATTTTTTAAAAGAT